CAACAAATATCTTAAGCTAGATTTTTTGTATGTAACCCTGAGCGTATTTTTAATATTGAGTGATAAAACTTTTTCTTTTTCTTGATCAATTGGTTAATATCTTAATTTATTTAAAGTAAAACTCTTTCTAAATCAAAAAACAAGGCCACACTGAATCCGTTTCTGAGATCCCCGATCCCATTTAATCACTATCAGAGCGCCATCTGTTGACGTCGCCTTGCAGGATGACTGATCCATCGATTCCGCCCATCGTAGATCGCAAATCGCAGATCGGAGTTCTCAGATCAAAGCGTTTCAAGCGCAGCAGTCAATCAAAGTTTCCTCCTCAGTTTTCCCCCTGAGGCTGGGCCAATAAATCCCCAGCACTCCCCCAGATTTTCCTCGATTTTTTGCAGCATCCCCTTTCGGTGTGGATAATTTACTCAAATGTCGACGCCTGGCGCTGCCTATTTGCGATTTTTTTTTGTTTTTGTTTTGGCCTATTTGGTCTTTGCTTGGTCTTTGGCTTTTGCATAAATCGATCATAAATTTGATTTGAAAATTGCTGGCTGTAGGCGGCCTTTTGGACCAAACTCCAAAGTCATTTCTGCGTATTTATAACTCAATAAAACTTCAAAAGTGTTCGAAAACATACGCTCTCAAAGTTTGTTTAATGCCATAAAAATGCAGTTCGCCTTCTTGTTGTTCTTGTCGCTCCGCGTATTGTGTACTACAAATCCCGGCCATAGCTTTATGGCCTTTATGGAACTCCGAGGGAAGCAGGAAGTTTACTCTATCGAGGAGTAAAAGGAGCCTCTACAAAGTCCAAATTGATTTCGATTCCGGGTGGAGGAAAAACAATCAATCTGAAGTTGATCGTCATCAAATCTGGCATTGGATTTCCCAGAAAAGAAACCATAAAGAGTCATCCAAATTTTTTACAATTTCCTTTACAATGGTTATATGGTTTATAAATAAAATTTGGTTTTTAGATTTTTATGGTTTTACAAAAAATTCTTTATTATAAATTGAATTTATATGTAAATTGTATACTCTTGCGGGTACTTTAAGTTTAGTCAAAAGCTTGTAAATCTATGAAGGAGTCATTTCCGACCCCATAAATCATATATATATTCTTGATCATTTGTGTGCTTTTAATTCTAATTAAAATTCTGTGCCACTTTCCCAAAAATATTTAAACATTCCCAGATGATTAGTGGTTTTTCCAAGGCTATTCTTAGTGTTTGCCAACTTTGTTGACATTTTCTTGACCCTTTTCTTTACCTCCTATTTGTGGTTGTCATATTTTTCCCATTGTGATTTCAGCTTTTTCTCCCTATACACACTACACACATTTAAAAAAATTAACCAGGTTTTTGGAGTACATTAATTTACCTGCCATTTTTTCCCACACCAATTTACAAATGTCATACCGATCAGATGCAAACTATATATACACACACATAAGTACATAGGTTGTCCCGCACAATATGAATTTACTTTAGAGCCATTGTCTATTATGGCCTGGTTAATTGCAACGACAGCTGCCAAAACAACGGCAAACCGTGCAAGAACAACAACGCGAGCTCCCAGTGTTGTTGTCACCGGCGTTGAACAACGTTGAATTCTGGCCGCTGAATTTATTGTTATAACGGGGCAATGATAACAGGTCATCAACACAACTGGCCAGGTAAATAAATATCAGGTGGCAGTGGGCGGTATACACACCTCCCTAAAGGGGGGAAGGCTCCCCCCCTCCCCTGAAAAGCGCGAAAAATAACCAGCGTTAATTACAAAGGATCTCCCGCGGGCCAAGGCGCAGTCACAGAATACCACAGGATACGGGACAGGACACACCGTGTGTCCCATGGCTGGAGTATCCTTCTGCCAGCGTTTAGCAGCTGGCCTGGCTAATACTTGCATTTAATTAGGCTTGCAATAATATTTATGTAAATCGGGCTGGTTGCGCGATGAGCCACAGAGACAGCTGTCAATATTTGTGACGGGATACAGGGAGAGAAAATAATGCTTAGTTTAGGAGTGAGTAATTGTCATAAAAAGGATAATATTCTGAGGGCTTGAGGTGAAAATTTTAAATTTGAGATTAGACATAAGGAACACTAAGATACTTTTAGGTAAATAATTGTATACCCTTGAAGTTACGTTCTTTTCTGAAAGACCTTTAATATCTTTGTGTAATATAACAGAATATTTTGCATTCGAATTTCTTTAAGTAAATTACTTGGTAATTAAGTAAAATATTTGTAAAATAAAAAACCCAGAGATCTTAATCAACCAATTTATTTTAAATCCCTTTATAGGTCTGCAATTCTTCTTTCTGTGTACTCCTCTATCCCACTCCTCTCCGCCATCCTTTCTCTCGATTTGATTATTGGACATTTGGCATTGTTGTCCTGGCTGGTGTGTATCTGTGTGTGTGTGGGCGCGTCCTTATCGCTAAGCAAACAGTGCAACATTTTGTCGCCATCGCATTTGTTTTTCTTGTCCTCCGCTTGTGAAAGTACGCTGGTCCCTGCGATTCCGGATTGTAAATTCCGGATCTGGACCACCCCGGCTGCACTCCAAGCAAGGCAAATATACACACATCGTCTCTTGTTGTTTTCGCATTTAATTTTGTTGCTTTTGACACCGAATGGAGTCGGGATGGCTTGGCATTTTTCGTTGTCAACGCAGCAGCCGAAAATTTTTGAATTCCGAATGTGCTGAATTTGCATAGCAAACACCAACGGACATTGGACATACACGGTTCCAACGAAATATTCTGATTTAATCAACCCGAAATTTGAGACTTGCCAAATATAAGCTTTTATGGAATTTTTGGGAAATTTATGGGTTTATTACATTTCTGGAGAAAATCCGAAAAATCTTCTGTTTTACGTTATTTTAACATCTGAAATGGCTTGTTTTGTTTAAGAATTATTACATTTAACAAGAAAGGAAATTAACTTCCTGATGCCTTCTAGTTTGGAATCGAATATAGGATCAAGCGAGAAATCGATTTTTTTTTAATGAAACATTTTTCGAAAAATATAATTTCCAAAAATTCATAACTAAGCCAAAATCGCAATAATTTTAATTCCGAAAACAGTTTTATGTTAGTTTTTATTGTGTTAACAAATCTGCATACTCAATTTATCATTTTAAGAAAATAAATTTTTTGCCAATTTTAACGATGTAACAACCCCTTTTAAAATTTTAAAATATTGAAAAAAAATTTTAAAATTTATTTTTTGACCGGACATAGCTAGATCGATTAAGCTGTTCATTCTGATCAAGAATATATAAGATTTATAGGGTCGGAAATGACTTCTTCAGTGTTTTACAAGCTTTTGAAATTCCCAGCAAGGGTATAAAAAAGGCTTTTTTTATTGATTGGATTGTGAACTCTTAAAAGAAGGATAGAGGCTTCTGAAGCAAGTTAAACATATAAGCTTCTATATTCCTTATTTGCTCCCACAAATCTTGTGTTGCCTAGTGTAGACCTCTATTTAAAGCTCACTTTCAGGCCTACAGTCTTTGGCACACTTTTCGCCGGTACTCAAGCCCCATTCACATGCCACCCAGCCAGGTATTTCTTTGTTATAGCCACGGCCAGTAATGTATACCAATTGACTGGCTTTCAAGCCGTGTCCGCCATTGAAAGCCACATCTGTGTACCCTCCACCGATAAGTCCCCCTGCTCCCAAGTCCAAAACACCTGAGCGGAGTTTAGCCCACAAATCGAGAGTTGGAGATTTTTACCCATTTTTTCCCCCATTTTTTTGAGTGCGATCTCAATGCCGCGGTGGCGCCAAGCGAAGCTCAAGTGACAATTGCGTATTTTTAACCTTTTTTCACTGGACATGACAGCCTTTATTAAAGCCCAAACTTCAAGACGAGACCGTGACAAGCTTCGTATCGCAAATAATCATCGTAGCATCGCCCAAATCAGCAGCATTTTCGGCCATCAATCAGAGGCGATCCATCTCCAGTTTTTTTTTCGGATCGATTGGGTAACTGGTTCGTGGACCAATAAGCTTCCTATTTATATATATAAATATATATATATTGCTTTATTTTTGAGTCATTATTAATGTTGCGCAGGTTGAATTGACCCCAGAGCTTGGTGTTTTACTTTCTACCAATTTGCAGCAATTGTTTGACAATTAGGAGGCTTAAAGGAAATGCTGAAGTCTTCTCAGTTTGCTTAACTAAAGATTTCTAATTTGCAGATCATTGTTTGGTGGTTATTTGAGTGAAAGCTAACATTTTCTTTTATAAATATAGCCAATAAATGTAGTTTATTTTTATTTATGTCTGGGAAATTAAAGAAAATGGAGAATAAAGAACTTGTGAATAGATTTTTGGGTTAAGACTTCATGGGAAATCCAAACTTTTATTTATAAATAATATTTTGAAATATTTAAGGCCAAAGGAACTTTAGATATTATTCTGAGTTCTGGCTTTATATAAGAAGCTGATTTAAGAACTGCTTTAAGTAACTTGGAAATGTATATATAGGATACCTATTAGTTGTTGAATTTGTTGTAAGTTAGGTACATGCTTAAAGCAGCTCTTCATTACATACTCCTCTAGCTTAGAATATATGTATTTACTAGCTCCAATAACCAAATCGATTCATAGTTAAATTTCCATTGAAACAGTTTCTCAACCGATCGCTCCATTCATATTTCTCCTTTTTCTATAAATCCATCAGAACTGCAGCCATTTGATATGATTTTGTTACCAAGAAAGCCATCTTCCAACGACAACTTGTCAATTGAGCGTTGAGTCAGTCAGTCCATTCAGAGCTCGAAATGGACACGGCTTGAATAGTTATTAATGCTTTTATCTGGGAATTGTGCGATTCGGGGTAAGAAGTCTGTTTTGCCAGCGTTCAATGGCCAGATGGAATGGCAACACCTCCCATGGAAACCGAAATCAAAATTGGCGAATAAAATAAAACACACAATTTGAGATATTTTAACATATTTTCAATACACTTTTTTGTTCGGCTCATATTGGTTTTTGCTTGTACGCTAGTTTTGATAATAATTATATTATAGCTACGATTTAGTTGTATAATTTATTATTGCTTACATGGGCTAGGCTAGTGTAGTTGCAATAGTTTAGTTATTGACAAAATGCGCTAGTTTAAGTTCATATATATGTATATATATAATTCTGTATAGCAAAACCTCATCACAAATTGCATAGCAGACAATTGGGACTAAGCCTAAACGCGATAACAATTTAAGGACTACAATTACAAATACAGTTAATACAATTATGCGGTTCTGGCTTAAACAACTAAAACTTGCTTCGTATACAATAAAAGATGGAGCCAAAGGTTATAGAGCTAATGGATGGGAAAATATCTGCAAGATATGGAGCTCAAATCATTCCTTTCTTCTCCACTAGCTCATTTTCCCCTTGGCTGGAAACAGTTTCTTTTTGGACAAACAGAAAATCAGCTTAAATTCGTTCTGAGATACAAGATACATCTACAATCTAGAGCTGTGGTTCGTTCTTGGGAATATATTTACACGAATATACAAGAGAGCCCAGCTGGCGGCTGTGGTGGTGGTGATGGTGGTGATTATGGTGGGTCAGCGGGAATCCCCCTGGGGGCGACTCCTCGTTGAATCCCTCCTAGACCCCATACTTGATGCCATACTCCTGGTAGTGACCCACATGCGGCCGGTAGTGACTGAGGTTGCTCAGCTGTCCCAGCTGACCCAGGTTCCCGCTCAGCGCCGCATGGTGATGATGATGATGATGGTGGCTACTGATCACCGCTGCCGCTGCTGCGGCGGATGCTGCCGCCACGCTGGCCGGTGCCGGTGGACTGGCGGACTGAAGGCTGCCCGTGGGACTGCCCTGATCCAGTTGGCAGGATTGATTCTGCTCAAATATCATATCCCGGAAGCCCAAGGCTGAGGTGGGACTGCTGGTCAACTGGGAGCCTCCACCGCCGCCGCCTCCTCCTCCTCCTCCGCCTCCATTATTATTGAGGACACTGTTGCTGTTATTGTTGTTGCTATTCCCATGTCCCGGATGAGTGGGCGTTCCCTGCTGGTTATTATTATTAGAAATAGGCTCCGATGGCGGTGTCTCCGGTGTATACCAGCCCCCGTGCGCTGGTCCATGAGGCGTGGCAATTGTGGTGGGCGAATGACCCGACGACTGGATGCCACCGCCGCCTCCATGGCCACCGGGGGTCAGGGGATGCGAGACATGCGCCACATGGCGCTGCAGCTGCTGGGCATGATGGGCGGCGGCGGCATGGTGGGCATGATGCATCTGGCTGGTGGCCAAATTGTCGTCGTTCAAGTGGTAGGGATAGGCGCTGTGATGGATCCGCGGGTTATACACATTCATCAGGGAGTCCACCGTGAAACCGGCATGCTCCACACCCCCGCCGGCGGCGGCCAAGTGGTTCATCTGGGCCAGACTATCGTGGCAGGAGTTGAGCATGGCGGCATGCGAGACATCCTTGCTGCTCAGGCAGCCCAAATCCATCAGTGGCTCCTTCTTGAAGTGAGCCGCATGGGCGGCCATGTGCTTGGCCTCCAGAATACCATTGGTCATCAGCTTCAATGGCTTCATCTCGGCCAGCTTCTCGTTCATCATGGCCTGTCGCTTAATGGCCTCCTCCTTCTCCCGCATCACATCCTTCTTCTTGAAGCGGCGCCTCCGTCGCAGGAAGGAACCGTTGTCGAACATGTTGTACGAGTCCGGATCCAGGGTCCAGTAGGAACCCTTTCCCGGTTTCTTGTCATCCCGCGCCACCTTCACGAAGCACTCGTTGAGCGAGAGATTGTGCCGAATGGAGTTCTGCCAGCCCTGCTTGTTGTCCCGATAGTACGGGAATCGCTCCATGATGTACTGATAGATTCCGTTCAGCGTCACCTTCTTGTCCGCCGCATTCTGGATGGCCATGGCGATGAGGGCAATGTACGAGTACGGGGGCTTCACAATCTCCTTGTTCTGATGCGGAGCACCCAGGCCGTAGGCACTGGCCGAGTACGGATACCGGGAGTACTGGTCGTATGCGTAATGTGCCGCCGCCGCTGCAGAGGCACTGCTGGCCGCTGCCACCGCCGAGGCGGAACCATAACCGGCGGCTGTCTGGGCATAATGGCGGGTAAAAGAGTTCTGGTCACTGAATAGCGTATGCATGATGGATGATCTTGCTCTCCTCCGGTTCCGGCGGAACCTGCCTCGTGCTCCTGGTTTACTGGTACTTCTGGTTTCTTTTTTTCTTTTACTTTTTGTTTGCTTGGAAACACACTTGGGGCAAAGCTCAACTACAATTGCTTCTGATAATATTTGCTTAAACAAGTCGGGCACATAAGTACGGCGGGATATATTTCGTACTCTACATATATATATATTTGTATATATATATATGTTTGTGTACTGTACTATATATATTTGTGTGTTTTTTCTGGATATTTCGGGGGGCTAGAGAGATCACAGCGCAGAGCGAGCGCAGAACCGTCCGGAGTAGTAACACGTCTGATACTGAATCTGTGTAACTGAAATAACACGCAGCTCGCTGGGAAGCGACGCACCGGGCAGCGTCGTTGGCGGCGGCAGCGAAATGTATCTGCTGCTGCTGGCAGCCAGTGTGTATCTGTATCTGTGTGCCGCTCGACTGTATCTGTATCTGCAGCCAACCAACGAGGGCTGGCACTCGTAGTCAGTAAGTGAAGCGCCGAGCACGCTCTCTCTCACAGATACAGATGCAGATGCAGATACAGATACTGTCCGCCGCCGCCATTCATGATTTCTCCTCCTGCTCTCTGCTCTGGCCAAATAGTTGTCCTTTCCCCGTGTGTTTTTGTTGTTCGAACTAATGCTTAAAATACGGCCTAGGCACATGCTCTCTCTCTCTCTCTCTCCCGCTCTAGCCCATGGCAAACAAGTGAGAAGCGAGCGAGAGGCATACATATACCTAGTTGAGGCACCTGGGAAAAAGCCAACCGTTCAAGTGGGCGACTTTCGGTGGGTGGCGTATGGAAGGGACTTTCCAAAACAAAACAAAAAAAAAACCTACCCTGGCATAAATTAGTGCTCAAAGCTTTTTTTCAATTCCAGCTTAAAGTTCCCTTAAAAAGTAAAGAGAGAAAAGAAGTTTCTTGCTAATTTGCAGTTTGATGGGTTTTATGCCAAGTTTTTGGCCAAGTTAAGGTTGTTTTCCTTTCGAAGGCAAAAGGCATTAAGTATTTTAAAATTTTACTTGGTGGTAACTTCTTTTTCGTGGAAGAATAAAATAAGAGAGAAAGAGTTTAAATAAGTTACATTTTGAGAAGAGATTAAAAGGAATCAATTATTAAAGTAATTCCTTTGGTAGTATCAATCAAATAAGACTTCTTTTTTGGGAATTTAAATTGATAAAAACTAGAATATTTAAACTTATATTTTTATAAGAAATACTCTCTTAAATTAAATTAGATTTAAGGGTAACCTTAGGGTTTTAATTTGGAAAACTACATGCATTCCTTACCTAAGAAATTAGAAAAGATAAATTAGAAATAGCATTTATGTTTGGGCTTCTTAAACAATATCATTTCATATGTATATAGTTACTTAAATTTTCCATACTAATTCCTGAACTTTATAAAATTTATTAATTATTTGTTTTAATCAAAAACCAATCAATATTCAATTAATATTGAATATTCTGCAAGCTCCTTGATGCAGGCAATTTAATTAAAACCATTTTTGATAGCTTTTAATATCATATTTCTTATGTAAATATTAAAACACATTATTATTTGTATGCATATACCAACTGGCAACCCATTCACACACCCGATGAGTTAACAGGGCTAAAACCCACAACAATCAAATAAAGATATAGCCGCGCATAAAAAGTCCTTTCCCTTGCCTGCCTCCATGGGTGTTATTCTTGCATTCCTTTTTTTTCTGCCGACTTTGCCTCTCTTTTTCTGCTTATTGAAACAATATTTTTTATTGACTTTGTCAGCTTTAAAGTAAATTTTTTATGTTTATTTGGGCAAGGGCGAGTGTGTGTGCGTGCGAGTGGCAGAACGGGATAGTCAGCGTGTTTGTCTGGTTATTAGACGCATCGAAAACAAACAAGAGTGTACATATACTCGGTATTTGTTTAATTTAAAAGTATGCTGACTATTTTTGTATTATTATTCATCATTTATCCCTTTGAAGGATGGCGAAAAAACGGCAGACGCTTTGCATGCATTTGCTCACTCACTCACAAGCACACCACCCTCGTGTCTGGGTAATTGATACAAGAATAATATTTGGCTCTATTAACGCAATCGCATTATTTTGACAAATATTTGTATTGTCTTAACATAATTTTTCGCATGCGATCTGTCGAGGGATGTGGCAGGGAAATGCCAAATGTCGAGAGATGAATCATTGCCATGTGTGTGTCCAGTTATATCCATGTCCTTCGACGAGAGTCGTCCTGCATTTGAAATTCGAATGAGGCGAGTCCCAGGCTCCCAGGCTCCCAGGCTCCAGCTGCTCCATTTTACGCATTTCATTTGGACTCTCTTTTTTATACCCTTTACAAGGGTATTATAATTATAGTTAGAAGCTTGTAACGATATGAAGGCGTCATTTCCGACCCCATAAATCATATATATTCTTGATCAGCATCATCTGCAGAATCGATCTAGGCATGTCCGGTCAAAAAATTAATTTTTTTTTTTAATTTTTTCGAAATTTCAAAAATAATAAGGGGTTACATCGATAAAATTTTCAATAATCGACAAAATTTAGAATTTTTTTAAAATTTTAAATTTAGTATGCAGATTTGTAACCTAATAAAAACTAGCACAGAAAAGCTTTCCAAATTGAAATTAATGCATTTTTGGCTTAGTTATGAAGGATGCAATGTTGGCATCCTGAAACAAACTGAAAGGGTATACAAACTTCAGTTTCTCGAAATTGGCTTGCTTTCTGGTTTATTATACACTTTTTTCATTGCTCTATTCGAAGGGTATTTTAACTATGTTGGAAGGATTTTTGTATGTATAAAAATTATCAACTAACTTTATTTATGCTAAATGCACAGCTTGAAGATTCGTATTTAATTTCTAGTGTTCATTTAATTTGGCTTTATAGAGTCTCTTTAAAGGGATTTAAAAAACTACATATCCTATCTTTATAAGCCAAACTTTAATAAGTTTTCTTCTTTATTCATAGTTAACTCCTGAATTTTAAGCCTTGATAATTTTGATAGTAACTGTCAGAGTATCTCAACTTCGTTCTGCCATACAATTTTCAAAATGCCGCTGCTGATTTAACAAATTTCTGTCTTCGACATCGGCGCCGTGATTGTGATTGTGTGTGTGTGTGTGTGCGAGTGGGTGTTAACGTTTTTTTGTGACCAACTGTCTGAGTACGTCTGTGCATTTTTGCACAGTTCATGTTATTCTTACGTAGTTGCCATTGCCTGTCTGTCCCGTCACCAATCCCGATTTCTCGATTTACCCCAGTCCAGGCCATATCCGATATGCCATTCCATTACATTTCAATCTGAAACCATCTCATCCCACACAGCTGTCGCCAACCGGAGTACATTCCTATCCGTATCCATATCTTTAGTCATCGTCCCACTGCATTTGACCTATCCAAATATTATTTTAGTTTTTCAAAACTGCAACTTAACATTTTTTCCGGGCCAAAATTTAGTGAAAGTCGAAAGCTGGTGTGCTTAATTTTAATATATTCCAGTCAGGGTTTTATTTAAAGGCATCTTTATTGAAACTAAGGAAGTAATCTTTATTGAATATGTAAAATATTAAATTTAGTAGTTTAACTTTTTGAAACAAAAAGAAACCTTCGAAAATTTAAGTTCTTTTGACAATGTGTCTTTTTTAAAAAGTATTTAAAGACTAAAATTCTATTAAAATAAATTTTAAATACAAACAACTCATAACTCACCTTAATTAATATTATTTTTAACTGTTCAAATACATTAAATTAATTATAATTTGACCAAGTAAATAATGTTGATAATGTTTGCCAGAGTTCCTTGAACTTGAGGCCTTGATGGGAGACCGTATTTCAACCCGGCTTTCGCCGCACACAACATGTCAATTTGGCAAACATATTTGCCATATCAAAACGACAACCGTGTCATTATTTTTGGGGGAAACTGTATAGAGTGGGGATTTCAGTAGCTTCACCGCTATGTCTCGCCCATTAGCCACGCTCAATTAGATGCAGTCAACGGAGCAGCGATGACATCGGGGAAATGGTGAAGTCTGTCCGAACATGTGGCCATTATTAAATTTTAGCAATTCCCCCCGCTCTCTCCTCTTCTATTTTTTGCCTTTTTTCGGGGCTGTAATCTAAGAATAATATTGATTTTAAAGAGCTGAAGCTGAAGGAGTGGGGGGGAGAGGGAGTGCACCTAATCAGACACTTGAACCAAGGATTTGAGCGGCAACAAAAATACGGTTTTTCAGGAAAAACGAAGAAGGAAGAAGGAAACGGCTCCTAAAAATGCTGATAAAGCGGTTTCAATCTTTTTCAAAAAAACACACCACAAACACACACACAGATACGGGGTATCCGGCAGATACAACACGCACACAATCGCACGCGCTCTCTCTCTCTCTCTCTCATTCTCTCTCATGAATATGCAACGGCTATGTGAGAGGGGGTTCCCACGCACTCACACACTCACGAAAAACGTCTGCGCAGCACTGAGAAGGGGGCGTGGCCAGCAGCGAGCGAGATGCAGCTATGGCTGCCTGCATCGCAGCCTCTCTCTCGCACACTGCACTTTCCTGTTTCGTATCCCTCAGATACACAGATACGTAGATACATTTCCCCATCCAGGAAAGTTTTTGCTGGTTTTTCGGGGTGTTTTCGCTCACGGAGTTATGGCTGCAAAATTAAGGGTGCGGGTGCGGGCCAGGGGTGAGGTTGGGGGTGGTGGTGCGGGTGCGGGTACGGGTGAGGGGGAACTATATTGGCCACTCATTAAAATTTATGATTTGTATACAGTTCTGGGCTTATTATGCATACATATATTCCCTATCTTTATTCTCCTGCTCCTTTTTGCCCAGACAATTTACCAGATTAGTTAGTAGACAAACATGGCCAATGCACTTGGGGAAAAATTGAAGGGGATTTGTTTCAAGAAACACACTAATTATATTCTACTAATTAAATTTATATAATAAATATTTGTAAAATATTTACCACCTAAAGAAAGACATTTTCTACAGATTTAAGTTTGGTTTTAAACAGTTTAAATATGGGAATATTAATTAATTATTTTTGAATAAAAGCAAGTTAAAACTATGGTTACAGCTCTATTAAATAATAATAAAATATACCAAGCAAAAGAGTGGTTCTTAAATCCTTTTATATATAATTCAAAATCCATTTTAACTTTTTTTAAATTGAAACATCCTTTTGCAAAATAAATGCATTCAATAAATCTATTAAACATTAATAATTAACCATCCAAGAATTTATAAAATTTTTATAATTTCTATTAAATTTATAATAGCGTTTATAATTTTCAATCAACCTACATTATAAACACGATTTCCCAACTTCCAATCCTTGTTCCCTTTTAAGGGGTTGGGAAATATCCGCCATTAGCTTAATCGTAATCATAATCATGGCGAAAATCTTCCGGTCATAAGCAGCGGAAATTCTAGAGACGGCGCTAAGTCCGGAATCGAGAATCCGGAATCCCAGATTCCTACCTAACCGGATGCTAATCATCGACGCTTAGCGGGAAAAACTTTTTAAGGCATGTTTAGACTTTAATGCGCGCCGCGGGAATTCTTAATGAAATCTCTCCGGGTTTTCCCCCAGATGCTCGAGATTTAGGACTGAATCTTTACGAGATACTTTACCTGACCGAAGGTGTGTCGGCTACTGTTCAATGTGTCCGGTCTTTTGGTTTTTCCCCCCCTTTTTCCGTAATGATGATTATGATGATGATTCCACACGCGTGTCCTGCGGTTTCTGTGGCTTATTTGCGGTTTACAGTTTTGAATTTTTATGGCTTACAACCCGCTGGGAAGTGGGAGTTCCTGCGGCTGCCACTGCTGCTGGGTTTCTGGGTTTGGTTTGCTAAGGCGACCTGGGAGGGTGGCCGAGGTGTGGATCTTTTGGCTAAGTGATGAGCTGCCGCTGGGTTTCCGGGAAGTGACCTGTCCGGCAAGCTAATGAAGGACTCTCTGAAGGTTCCCTGATGGGAGGAGGTTCAATATAGATGTTATTAGGTAGATATTGGGGTGTAAATAGGTCAAGGTGTTTTATGAATATAGTTTTATAAATATTTAAGGAATGCAAACCTTTTAGAAATTTAATTTAACATTTAAGTAGTTACGTTTTCTTTACCCCAGACACTGACATATTTAAATCACTGACATTTTAAATCACCCTCCGCCATTCCGGTCCATAAATCTCAGCCCACATTATGCCGCATTACCTGGGCCAACTCTTAAATTCATTCATAAAACACCTTCTCAAACCCGATCTCAATCCCGAAACCAATCCGGTCTCCAATGCCTTGGCCATTGAGCGTTTGTAACTCGTAACTCGTATCTACTGCTGCTTCTGCTGCTGGTCTAATGTTTATTTAATAAATATTCCCTGCCATGTTATTGCAACAAGACTTTTGTTTATTTATATGAGAAATACGCGCGACATACTCGAGACGTTGTCGATATATAGAGGGGAACCCAAATATAAAAAGGGGGCGTAGCTTTAGTACAGGAAAATTCGCAATGGGGAAAACTCTTTGAATTTTTTTGGGGAAAATCTACATCTATATGTTATTGTCCGAGCCATTCGGCATGCCTGTTGTTTCGTCTATAAAAACAATCGGCAGCTGCTGGTGGAAATCCTTGCGAAAAAATGTTTTTAATTTTCGCATAAATTTAAAGTAAATAAAAGTGCAACAAACGGTTTTTAAAAATTTCTTGTTTATTTTAACGCAAAGAAAAATGTTTCATTCTCTCTGGGTGTGTGTGCTCTGCGCAAAAATAAAAATGTTCAAATCATTTTATTTATTTATTTATTTATGCAGGCTGTGCATCTTCGATTTGGTTTTTCGTTTCGTTTCGTTGCGAGTCCTGCAGGCTCTCTCATCGCATGGCATGTCCTGGTTGGGATAAAGGCAGGCTCCTACCAATCGTATGTTTACTTGACGCGCAAATCCTCTTACGACGGTACACTGTCCAGTGTCCCTGGGTCCTTGGTCCTCGTTGCTCGGTCCTCGGTCCTCGGTCCTGTGTCCCTTTTTGTGGTTTTTCGGTCGGTTTCGCTTTGCAGTTCGATTCGAGGCGGAACGAAACGAACAATTGCATGTTTTGATTGCCGCCTGCAATTGTCCTGTTCGTCTCGGTCCAGCCTGAGCCTGGGACCTGGCCTCGTCCTGGCTGTGCGCACTGTGCACTTGTGACAATATTTTCATAATTTTTGCATCTTTTTTCCGCCAACATCATCGCCAACGGTAGGTGCGCGTGTAAACATTAACTTTTCAAGAAGATTTAATCCCGATTATCCTTTGACTGTGAAATTTTTCACTCAAAAACTTTGCTTGCTAGCCGGGCCTTGTGTTTGTCTTTGGCTTTTCGGCTGAGACTCCGTCGACTTCCAATCCTTGAATCCCTTTTTTTTCTCGTTCTCTCTGTCCTTTGGCAGCTTTGTCCCTGCGAATCCCCGGATTGTCCAGCGTCTGCGTCCTGCGAGGCAGAGAGATAATGATCAGGCGGCGACGACTTCTTGATGCGATTGCTGCTGCCTTTTCGCCTCGCAGGACAATGGCTACGAGTCGAGTCGCAGGAAGAATCTTACCTCTCCTCGATTTGACTCTGGGCAGGATTTTAATTTGCCCATAAAGGTGAGACAATTAACAGAATAATTGGATTGTTCATCTGCAGGACAATGAGGTTGGTCGGTCGGGAGAGTAAAGGATATTCAATGGGTCATCTCTTAAGCTGATTAGCTCCTCAATGGGACAGGAATTGTTGTCCACTTTTGTGGCTCAATTAACTTGTCGTTATCTGTGGTTTCTGTTTTATTGGCGTGTTTAGAATTATGGGAAGTGGGTTTTGTTACAAATACAGATAGGAATTACTCCTTCAAGATACTATTGCAACATTTTTAACTTGCAAATGTAAAAACTTGAGTGTGTTAAGCATTGCATAAGGAATATTTTATAGTTTTTTCTTTCTTAAAAAGATTTTAATATTATTATAGCCAATTTTTATTTATTTTGAACAAAACTTGCACTGACTGTAATTTTTAACGTACATTAATTCATTTACAACTAGCATTGTGTTAAAGTTTTTGATCATTTCAAAAGAAAAAAAGCAGAACCAGAAGACCCCCGTTGTCAATTGCTTCATCATAATATTTAAAGAGATTCATTTTCTAAATGTTTAAAATCAGCGCGCTTCTTCGATAACTTATTAAATCGACAACTCCTAGAGCTAATCTATGGCGCCCCACAGCGGATATCTCCGTAGAACAACGTCAGATGGCGCCATTGGGCTGTGTATTTTTACATGTAAGTCTGCCAGTGCTGCCAGTTAAATGGCTGTGATCGTTGAGTACTGCCACAAAATGTGAACATATGAATGTGAAATGTAAAAATGAACATATCTGGAAGGGAGCCACCTGTGGTTTGGTGAAGAAAACACCGATGATAAACTTAAACAATTATTATATTATATTTTAAAAATTTAAGTCAGAAGCTTAAAACTCACTGAAAAAGTCATTTCCGACTCTATAAATCATATATATTCTTGATCAGCATCAACAGCTGAGTTGATTTAGCCATGTCCGATCAAAATATAAATTTTCAAAATTTTTTTCAAAAATTTAAAAATTGTATAAGGGGTTACATCGTTAAAATGTTTAAAAATTGGAAATTTTTTAATTTTTTAAAAATTTTAAACTAAGTATGCAGATTTAATAATCTTATAAAAACTAGCATATGACCGCTTTCTGAATTCAAATAAAAGGCTTTTTGGCTTAGTTATGCGATTTTAAACTTTGATTTTTCGAACAAATTTTCATAGAAAGATATCGTTTTAAAGAATGCATATATTTTAATGCATATTTTTAATTGAATATATATATTTCAGAATATAGTTTTAAGCTTCACCTTCATTTTGATTTAAACATATTTCAAGGCAAATTTGATTTCTTGGTAAATACGTTGTATCAAAATAAATTGAATAAAAGTCGACGCAATAATTTTATTGTTATATTTCATATATTATTTAACTCGAAACTTCGCTGCGAGGCATGTCTTGTTTATAAATAATTTGTTTTTATTGCTACGCGTACAATGGAGAGTTTCCCCCACTAAGCACTAAGCTCTACTTAAGTCCTAGTTTAACGTGATTATGTGTGTGTGTCCTTTGAGGTAATGAAACATTATTGGGCCTTTGATGCCTAGTACTTGAGGGCCTCATAGTATCCCCCACCTCCGCCGCCTCCATTCAAAGCCACCGAAGTGGGCGGCGGTGTGATGGGCGGCAGGTAAACCGGTTTCCGGTCAATGGGCGAATGCGCATGGTCGATGACATGGTTGCCACCGGACTGCGATGGCGGCGGCGTCATAGAACCATGACTTTGGTGCAGCGAACCATGGTGCTGCTGCTGCTGCTGATGCTGGTGATGCTGCTGGTGGTGCTGCTGATGATGATGATGCTGCTGGATGCTGGACAGTCCGGGCAGCTGCTGCAGCGAGATTGAGCGGAGACCTGAGAGAAAATAAAAAAAATAAAACAAATTAAACTCGCAGTTCTTCTCATTTTATGGACAAGCGCTAAAATTCACACTGCGCCACGACGGCGGCGGCATCTATAAAAAAAGGGAGGATCGAGTGCGGCATAGATTACCATATGTTGTGTTTCCCCCTCTCCGTAATCCGAGCTGTGAAACGTCAGCAATTAAATTACCCTGATTGACGCGAACACCCAGGAACATAACGATTCCCACTCCTCCCATGCCCTAATCCTCTCAAGTGGTTACACGGTGAAAAAAGTAAGATCTACTGCTTAATTTCTTTAAATTTGATGATGATTCTAATTAATTTTTATGCTTAAGAAGTCAAGGAATCTTGAAAACGAAAAACTAATAAAGTTCTTATTTAAATCTGACACTAAAACAAGATTTCTTCTCTAGATTTCTTTCTCTCTCTTAATTCTACTTAGCTATTTACTAATACCCGTACTAACCCCTTCTTTCTGCCAGTGCATCTCAACCCTCATCTCTTTCTAGAGGAGCCGCTCACTTACCATTGTCCAGGCTGCTGGCACTTGTTGCATAGGAGTAGCCCGCGGCCACGAGACTGGCGGTTGGTGCATAATCGCTTTGAAGCGCCGCCGAACCCAGCGGAGAACTGGAGGAGCCCGTCACCGAGGGGGCCATCCCAAGGGCAGAGTGGGCCAGCGGTGGCGTGGCCGAGGAGCCATTCAGATTGCCGCCAGCGGTCAGGCAGGATATGTTGGAGTACTGTGGCAAAGAGCCAACGACGCCCATCGAAGACGATCCACTATGGGCTACATGACCGTTCCAGGCATCTCCAAAGCCCTGGACACTGCCCGGGGAGACGCCACTGACTCCAGCCGAACTGTAGTCATAGCTGCCGTAAGCAGGCGAGGCATAGAAGTTGGCATTGTCCTGGAAGGATATAGAATTATTAGTTATTCCGGGGCTTAAGGGAAGTTAATCTTCGTCTTACCATTCCCGCATCCCCGTAGCTTCCGGCAAAGTAACCATTGGCATGACCCCCATACGCCTTGACCTTGATTTTGGAGCGATAGCCCCTGGGCCTGCGCCTCAGGCTGCCCTCGTCCTCGAAGAGATGTGCTGAGTTCTCGTCAATGGTCCAGTAGTTACCCTTTCCCGGCTTGCCCACGCCCATGCCCTTGGGCAGCTTCTTGAAGCACTCGTTCAGGCTGAGATTGTGACGCACCGAGTTCTTCCAGCCCACATAGGGTCCGCGGAAGAATTCATAGCTGCAGGTAGAAAAAGTTACATTTTAGAAGGATTTTTAAATAGAAAAATAAGTGAAAGTACTCTTAATTAATATTCAATATGATTAATGATTTAATATTATCATTTATATTGCCATAATTTCTTTCTCTGTTCTGCCAAAGACGAAAACTGATAATGAAGTTGATTATTTATTTGGCTGCGCTGGCGAAACTCAATTAAAACTTTTTTTGGCGACAAAAAAACCAACCATGTCAGCTTAAAAGCCTCTCACGCATCGCCACTTTGCCACTTCACCCCCTCGATGCCACCGATTCCCTCTGGTTAAAGCTCAAGTGGATCCCCGTCTCGTCGCCGAAATCGAAATCCAAACAAACCGCCGCGAAATCTGAGCTATCTGAAGGATGCGCATGCGTTTCGTTTCGGGTTTTCATGTTGGCTAAATAATATCGGATGCAAGTAAATAAAGGCCACAGCCATACATATATATTTTTTTGTTGTAGCTACGGAACTAGATATGGCTGAGCCACCAGGTTTGGATGTCGATGGAGCCACTTGGCGACATCCGAGATGCCGCCCCTATTTATTAGATTAAATAATGGTTCAAGGGGGGTTTCTTGGCACGGATTATACGGAAATATTTTAGGTATTTCTATTGACTATTATTTATAAGTTGGATATGAGTTTGAAGGTTATTTTTAATATTTTGTAAACTATCTACACATAATCTTTAGATCTAGGTAACCTCAGTATAGGCTTTTTATAAAGTAAATAAAGTTTATGGGATAGATATAATAATTCTTTTTGGTGCTTTTGATAAATATTTCAAGTTCTGTTTTAAATCCCTAACTTTTCACACTGTATAATAAGTCCTCCAAAAAATATAAAGTATATAAAACCACCTTGATTACCTCTTCTGCAAATAGGCATAAATCTCGGAGAGCGTCAGCTTGCCGGTGGGCGACTCCTTGATGGCATGTCCAATCATATTGATATAGCTAAGGGCAGGCTTTTCGGGCCTTCGAGTGCCCGACTTCTTGGTGGTGTCCGGTGTACTGATTGCATCCTGATTACCCGAACCCGATCCTCCGCCTGTGCCTCCTGTCTTGCTGCCCTGGTGCTGCTGCTGCTGATTCTGACTGAGCGGCGAGGAATCGGATCCATTGAGTGACTTGGCGGGCGAGGAGCTAGAACTGGAGTAGTTCACTCCATGCGAGGACATTCCATGGGCATTGCTGATCACCTGGCTGGGCGAGGTGGAGATACGTGGCAGATAGGCCACTCCTCCGCTGGGCGAATGCTGGAGCGGCACTTGCTGCTGTTGCTGCGGAGTCCCCTGATGCTGCTGCTGCTCCACCTGAGCCTCGTGGCTGGTCAGGAGCTGGTAGTCATTGGCACTGAGAATGGTGTTATTCGAGCAGTACTTGATGGTGGAAGCATACTGATGGTTCATGGGCTGCAGTTGCACCTGCAGGGGCTGCACCTTGGAGGAGGCCGAGCTGGTGGTCACATACTGCAGATCCTGGGGCTGCAGGTCCTGTGCCGTGGGTGTCTTGGAGCTGGACTGCGGCGAGACGGGTCCATAGGGCGGAATGGGACTCGAGGAGGCCGGCGGAGTGCCCATGCTGTGCAAGGCACTCAAGCTGTAATGCTGAGCCGCCGACACCGGTGTGGCCGTGGGAGTGACTTCCATGTAGTGCTTCAGCTCCATATACGCAATGTTTGGCTTCTCGTCTACCAGCTCTGTGGGCGACTCACTGCCCCCATTGTCTGGTAATTGCCACCGACCAGCAGGCCATTCCCCGTGCGATACAAGTGCCCACTGTGCGGATGGGAGTGTGGATGTCCATGGGGAAGGCCATGTGGATGTGGGTGGGGATGTGGATGCGGATGGGGGTGGCCAAAATGGGGGTGGTAGTAGCCACCGCCTCCGCCTCCAGAGCCGCCCAACTGATCCACCGACATGAGCGAGCGTTCCGATACCTCTTCACTCTTGATCATCTTTCACTGGAGTATTTTGTTTTTTAATGACACAAACTTTGAGAAATATTTTAAATATCTCCTTTTTATAATTTGTATATGTTTTTGATATTTATTGATCAATTTAGTTTCACTATTTATGTTTATAAATTGATTAGAACTTTTAGAAATATTTTGAATATTTTTATAATAAGATATATGTTTTGTGATTTATAAAAGTATCTTTTGGATATTTGTATATCTTTATATCTCTTTCAGTGACTTTTTCTTTTTCTTTGTGTAACACAGCTTGAATAATTATTTTAAATATTTTTTCCAACTCTTTAATTTGTTTTCTTTTTCTATCGAATCACTTTGTTTCTTGTTTTAAATTTTAATTAACAATTCCGTAGCTTCGAAGTTAAGCTTTTAAAAATCATATTTAAATTCCTTATTGTATTATATTAATATTCGTTTGACTCGCAACTTTTCCGGCGGACATGGGTTTTAATTTTGTAACCAACTGGAGGACCACACCGCTTGGCTATTCTCGCTCGACTGATTGCTCCTGGAGCAAGAGTCTCTGGCGCTGCCACGATCCCATCCGATGCGATCCACTTGAGTTGCCATCGGCTGGGAATTCTTTTTTAGTGCGCCTACGATCGCCGCTCTCTCCGATGTCTCCCCATATGTACATATGTATATATATTTTTAAATATATATATGTATATCGGGGATGTCGATGGGCTTGCTCTCTTTTTTCTCGCCGCCAATTGGCTCGTCACAGAGGTTTTCTTCTCTCCGGGAAAATGCAAATGATATGTAATTCTCCATTTCGCAGATCTCTGATTTGAACTGCGGCTATTGGAGATACGCACAGGTATGCCTGGAATCTAGGGAAATCATTGGAAAGTCGAGATCTCAGTGGATTACTGTTTCTTATAGGAAAGTAACCCTAAAGTTCCAGTACAATAGGAAGTTACTTTTGGTTATAGAAAAATGGCAAAGATAGGGTTTATTTATAGGGATTTCTACCTCTAATGATTTTAATTAAAATAAGAGATAGAACAGTTTAATATATTTTTATTATTATATGTATTTATATTAATATTTTCTTCCCAATTAAATATTTCCAGCTACTCCAATTAAATCCTTAAAAACCCCCTATCTGTTAATTATCAACCAAAACATCGCAGTACCATGGGTTTTCCCACTTGTAAGTCTTTGTAAATAATAAATTCATATTATTTCCAATTAGTAAATAATTTCCCCAGCTTCAAAGCAGAATTTTTGGCACATTCAAAACTGTTATTTGTAAATATTTGGTAAACCAAAAAGTGCAATATTGGATTAAAATTGTGGGGAAGTACTTAAATCAATTTCCCCTCCTATTTACACCTCCTTGACCCCAAATACCTCGGTTCGGATCGGAACCCACTCATTACTGACTCATTATGGCTGTTATTTCCGAGCAGAACGATGCCATCTCCTCCCCCGCTGGGACAACGTTGCGTCCCTGGCCAGTCAACAGTTAATAAATAGTCAAAAACAGAGCAAGATCCTCGGAAGGCGAACCCGCAATTAGCCCCAATGAATTAGCGTTTCTCTGGAAAACCGAGGAAAAAAAAGAATAGAAAAAGGAAGCTGCCGTTGCTGGAGGCGGCGTTCGGATTTCGAAACGAGCTGTTAATTGATTTAGTCGTTGCCTGGCACGGATCCGGACCAAGATCTGGAGCGGGAGCTGGTGCGGACTGCGGCTGGAGAGCGGAGACCTGAGTGCCGCCATTGCTGTCAGCACTACGTCGACTCGGAGGCGACCGTGACGGCAACGGAAACAAGGGTGGAGAACTCAGGGGGGAGCAGTGACAAAGACAACAAAATAATAATAAATTTAAACTATTTACATTCAAAATAATAATATCAATAATAATACAAATTGAAGTAGTGTATTAAATAACATATTTATTTCTATATCCTCACTGGGTACTACATTTTCAGTCATATGTTAAAAAAGAAAGTGAAGGAGTCATTTCCGACCCTATATTCCCTATATATTCTTCATCAGAATCATCAGGCCAGTCGATATAGACTATAGACTATAGGATAAAATATAAATTTTTAAAAATTTTTCGAAAATTTCAAAATTTTATAAAATTTCATTAAAATTTTCATAAATTGATCAAAATTTCAATTTTCTAAAATATCAAAATTAGAATGCAGATTTATTAACCTAATCAAAACTAACATAGAACAGCTTTCCGATTTGAAATTAAATAATTTTTGGCTTAGTTATGAATTTTTTAAACATTGATTTGTACAAAAAATGATCATATAAAATAAAAATAGATTTATCTATCTAACGAATTAATTTTTTTATTTCAAGTCCATTGTAAGGCATACATATTTTTATATTATATATTCAAACTTATATTAAATAACTAATTGTTAGAATAGTCCCCCATCTACGCCTCTGAACTGAGACGATGGCGACGATGTGTTCCCTCTCGTTCTGGCCCTCTGGCGCTGCTTGCTCTCTCCCTTTCTCTCTTGGGGCAACGTTTCAATTCGATTTGGGGATCCGAAAAGCGAAAAGCGAAACGAGAATCGAAAAGAACCGAAGAAGAAGATACACAGGGGAGCGCACTGAGAGATACAGAGATACATTTTGTGGGAGGGACACACGGGGGCGGAGTTTTGTTTACATTTCACGAAATTCTATTTGTCGACGGCGGCGGGCACTGATTGAGAAAACCCAAAGCGGGGGGAGCAGGGAGCAAGGAGGAAAAGCAAAGAAAATTCCGTTCCGTTCGCCGGCTACACTTTTATTTTATTATTTTCCTATTTTGTTGGCCTGTCTTGAAAGATATTTTAATTTCATCCGCCATATATCAAGCCACTCGCCATTTTCTGCGAATTTCCCAGAAGCATTTCCATTCCATGGGGTTTCGGGTTTTCCAAATTTCCCCACAGCATTCCACTCTCTTTAGTAATTTTCAATTTGGCATACAGATATTTTTCACTTTTGGCCATTTGAGGCTTCTGCGGTTTGGAGGCCATAAATTAATTTTTCTTTTGATTATTATTACTTCTCCTTATTCGTTTCGTTTTCTTTAATTTTTTTCTGCTTCTTTTTATTTTTATATTCGATTTTCCTGCTGCTTTTGTTTTCAGGAATTTTCGCAGTGAGTGAGGAATAAATTAAACAGCCCCCGAACAATAGCTCACAAGACCCTGAAAATGGCGGGAAATTTATTAATTGTTCTGTTCTGGAATGGTTTTCTGAGAAATCGACTTTAACAAAATGATTTAGACCTCAATGTGATTTATTATCGAATAATATTGCAAATATAATTATTGTTTTCTTGTTGTTAAATAAGGTTTATAAGCTAGCAGTAAGTTTTGAAAGGTTTATCACTCAATTAAAGTTACTTGAACCATTCATTTGGATTTATTTCCAAAATGTATTTCCTCTAGGAAACAGTTTCAAGGCTAAATAAAACGTAAAATCGTAAAAATTGGCCACAAAATCAATCAACATTTTCCATCCGCAATTTGATTTGTGTAGGGCTTACACTATAGTAAACTATAAACGGAATATTTATTGGAAATTCTGATCAAAGATACAGTCTGCTGCGATATTTTGACAGTTTCCGTTTCAGCAGAAATGTTTGCCAAGAAATTTTTCCCATCCGATATCCAAGATAGAATTTATAATTTTGCATTTTCCGGTACGACATCTTGTCTTTATAGCCAACAGAATTATTTATAGACGATGTCCGAGCAATGCACTGGCCACACACGCAGAGTGCGTCATCCTTAACTGGGTCAACAGTTCCGGCCAGATTCGATTGAAATCCATGGTCCATAGCCTATGCAGAAATCTTTGGCCAGACTGAGGAGAGAGATCCATAAACATAGCCAAGGGAATTCCCAAACAAAAGCCGTCATCGCTTTCAAGTTCAGATAATCATAATAAAGATAAGTTGGCATAGAGACGGGCAGAGCTTCTTCTTGTTTTGCTTTTAATTTTAATGTTAATGTTATTAAATGGCCGAAAATTGTTTACTACTCTCTCTATGCGTGATGTTTGTAAACAAAATTATGTATACGACGCGTTGAGCCGGCCGATCTCTCCATCTCCATCCCGATTCCATCCCAGTTCCCATTGATGGTGTTGCGGTGATCCTGGAGAGAGCAGGCGAGGCAGAGGCAGTGGCAGAGGCATTGGCCATTGTTTAAACTGTAGTTTTAATAAACATTTAACAATTAAACGCTGTACTCTAAACACACGATCACGATCAACCACCACCACCGACGACTTGTTGTTGTATACAAGAAGAAGAAGCCGCCGCATTTGGATTTGTTTTTGCACACTGACCTACAACAACTGGTAAAAGCAAACAATTGCACCTAATACCGCCTGCCACGCCCCCGCTTATTAAACAGTCACCCCCTCCGATCCCTCGCCCAATTCCAGACAATAAATAATCAAATCGAAGCCAAGAGATATGCATTGGAATCTGGGGAAATTTCAAAATATTTACATAGAGTTTTTGAACCGAAAAAAATTTGGGAAAATTATGCCGTCTAGTTAGAAACTTCTTGGCCGGCCAAAGATTTTTGTTTAAATATTTACAAATTCCGGTCCAGTACACTATATATGTGCCGATTCCCGATCTCGAATCTATATTGTTTATCACCGCAGTGTCTTGATTAGGATCACGTGTTGCCGAAAAACATCAAAATCAAATACTCACACATAAACACAATATGATTTTGTTCTCATTTGTTTTTTAACCAGTCACGTTTTTTTTTGTTTTTAAGTTGTTATTGTTTTTTCCCACGACTGTAATTATGTGTGTTTGTAAATATTTATGAATCTCCGTGCTTTATTTCCCATTAAATGCGCTCGTTTCTGGCTAAGTGGATTCGATCTTGTTTGGGCCAAATGCGGTTGACAAACTTGAGTGTGGCATAAACATCGATTTTTATATGAGATTAAAAAGGTATAGAGAATTAGAAAGATGTATTTCTTTAGAATAGATTAGGAAAGCTCCTCTTATTTATATAAATAGGGATTAAGAAAAGGTATTTATGAGCTAGAAATATTTAGAAATTAGGCTTGCATTCACTTAGTAAATATTAAACCCAAAGATATCTTAGAATTTTAGATAAAATTGTATTTAAATGTTTAAGTAGAAGGCATTTAAACCTGGAAAAATCCATAAAATACTTACCTTAACCCATTTATATATATTTAGCCTTAATTAGGTTTACCAACTATAGGGTTTTCCTTTGATTTCTTTACAGGTTGTGCTATATTTTCCCAGCTAATGGCATTTTCGGACTGTGCCGCCTGTGGTGACCGGCGATTGCCACACTTTGGCACTTGGTTTTTCACGTGGCGGCCATAAACACCTTTGCCGATGTGTGAGATATTCCCAGCTATGTGTGTGTGTGTGTGAAAGCAAGATGGCCGACTTGCGCAAGATGGCCAAGAAGATGCCATTGCCAAACTATGCGAACTGTACCCGCTCCCTGCTCCCCCGTGTTTGGCGCTTTGCGCCATTCAACTGTCGAAGCTGGCGCAATAAAATCGAACAATTTATAGACTTGCGATCCATTTGGTGCGCAATAATTGCGCCAAATGTACAGAAATTAAGAGAAACAAGAAAAAGAAAACGAACTCAGAGAGAAGAAAGAAAAACCAAGAGGGAAGGCAACGATCTGGAAGATACGGGGCACTCGGCGAATCGATTTCCACTTTGGGCCGCTTTTTGGTTGTTTAGCTTTTAGCTTAATAGCCGGTACTTAAAAATGCGTTGACTCACAGGAAACAGAACGAGACCGAAGCGAGGAACATCTGATCGATGGCGATTTATGCGATCATCGATTCCGCAACGTTGGCAGTAATTAATCTCTCGGCTTAAGCACATTTGCCAAAATGGCTGATCACGCACACTTAACGAGCTACCAGCTACAGTCCGCAGTATCTTTTTGTGATCTTGTATCTTCCAGATACCCTTTATTGGGCTTGGCATCTGTTTCGTTTCAATTGACGCTCATTGTCGTCATTGCCCCGCTCCAAGATCTCTGGCTCTCCCCTCTTCCACAGAATTCTCCCGTGTCGTTCGCTTTCGCTTTGTTCTTCCAGGGCTTTTGTAGTCGCACATCTCCACATCTCCGATTCGTGGTCTTTGGCCTTCGGCGGGAGCAGCGACGCACCTGTGGGGTCTAAAAATATCCGCAAGATACAAAAAACGATTTTGTGGATAGCTTGGCCAACATTGAAATGTCATGGGTGGTAGTGAGTTTCACAACTTGACAGTTGAATGCTGAATGCAATTAGCCTAGATACATTTCACAGATCTCAAGGATATATAGGAAAAAATGGAAAATGGCCTTAAAATTAATATTTTTTTAGTCTGTTTATTAATAAAATACCTTGAAGTATATTGAGTGACTTATTTAAACCTTTGATTAATTATTATTTTCCCAATTTAGAAACATGTAACCCCGCAAACCTTTATCCCTGTGACAAGCTATCAACACCAGATCATTAGTGAAAAGACAAGATCCTAGGACCAAGCCCAATATCATGTTCAAGTGGCTGTCAGGAGAGAGCAACCCAAAAGTAAATGTAAATTCTGTTGGTTTAATCGATGGCGACATCCCGTCGCAGAAGTCGCCTAATTATCCACACCAAGATCGTAAATCGAAGCAATTGAGGCGCTGACGACAAATATTTTGACGTGGCGCCGCCCAGCCGTTTTCCACTGAAGGATACGCATGGTCCAAGGATAATGTGTGGTCGGCACTTGAAACCGATTCTGGAAGCAGTAGCCACGGGGAACTATAATTGAAACCGAACACTCCGAACTCGAAACCAAAAAAGGGAAACCAAGCAGCAATTGAGAAAAGGCTCAGCCCACACGGTACTTTAATTATGTCAGTAACTGTAAAATACTAAAAAAAAGCAGAACTCAAAATTTTAGGCTAATAAGATTTTTTCATAACTTTTGGCAAACCGATTTTTGGCAACACAAAAAATTAAGGATGCAGCGATTCACCCTCACAGCGTTCATGAAGATGAGCGATGCTTTGATGACAAGGTCCAGAAGGGAGCAAGAAGCCGGCCAGAAGAGCTTCTCCGGGCATCACTCCTGTTGGCAGACCTCTAGACAGGATTGCTTTCTCCAGGATCCCTGCATGAACGATCCATGCCCCGAAACCTGCAAGGATGGCCCTAAGAAGGATCTCCCTAAGAAAGGGCCACCTAAGATAGAGCCACCTAAAAAAGAGCCACCGAAGAAGGATCCCATCGAAAAGAAGAGCCCGTGTCCTCCGGAAAAGAAAAAACCAAGCCCACCTCCTGAAAAGAAGAAACCGGATCCTTGCAAAAAGCCAAAACCATGTCCGGATCCTTGCAAAAAGCCAAAACCCTGTCCGGATCCTTGCAAAAAGCCAAAACCCTGTCCGGATCCTTGCAAAAAGCCAAAACCCTGTCCGGATCCTTGCAAAAAGCCAAAACCCTGTCCGGATCCTTGCAAAAAGCCAAAACCCTGTCCGGCTCCTTGTAAAAAGCCAAAACCATGCCCTGATCCTTGCAAGAAAAAATGGTTCTTTTTTTAAACGTGAACACATGCCAAACTTAAATTCAAGTATAGAAACTGTTAAAACATAAGTAATCTTTGAATATATACATATATTTATCGGAACTTAGTCTTTAATATATTTAAAAATAATGCTACTAAGTAGGATACATGTGAATAATTTACCTTTACAAAAGAAAACCCCAAATCAAAGCAACTCTTGAATTTAACTTATCCGGTTTTTATTTAAAAAAAATTTTAGTTTTAATTAAAAATTTTATGTAGCTAGTTTTCTGCTATTTGGTTAATAGTTTTAATAATGAATTCGCTACGGAATCGGGTCTTAATTCAACTTACAGAAGGAATGCGCCTGCGTCTCTTATCGGAATCGATAGATAAGAGCGGCAACCAACCAACCCAGCAACCCCAAGGACCCACGCCCCAGGGCGAGCCATCAAAGGATCCAAAAAAAAAGAAGCCGGAGAATATCTGTGGAAAACGTAGGTTAATATAAACATATCCCTGAGACTTTATTTAATCATTCCTTACTTCCTAAAGCTATACAACCCACCGGTCCACGCTGCAAACCCAATAAATCCGACAATTCCAAATCCAATGAAACGGAAGTCCCAAAGCCAAATTGAAGCACAGTATTTCAAATTAAAATTTAGGTTCAAGTATGCCTTGGGAATAACCTTAGCCCGTTTCGAGTTGAAATTTTCTAGTTCAATTTTTAGTTTCTCACACTTCGCTCTGGCAGACAGTTCACCAAAAAAATATATAAAAATAAAATGTCAGGAGTATTTTTGCAGTGTCGCAGAACTTTGGTGATTCTTCGCCAAAACACGGCTGTGAATAATGAGAAGGGTATCTTTTGCAAGATCCTTGACAATTACCAGAAATTCCGAAAGGATGTTAAGAACGAGGTGACCGAGGGAGAGGAACCAAAGAGGTCGTAGGTAAGAAACATACCATATAGTACATAGTACAGTGCTATATTACTCATCTCTCCTTTACTCCCTATATAGGCACAACCCTAGGAACTAGAAACTAACCCCGTTCCAAATCAGATCATATAATGGCCAACAAATTACCATATTGTTGCCGGGAGCCCAACATGAATCGGCGTCCGTTTTACGGGCAGATCATAAAACGGAACGCTCCCAGACATTATAAAGCCATAAAGCATCCAACTAAAATCGGGCAAAAATAGCTCGACTATAGAAGACCAGACGGCAGTGAACAGACCCAAAAACAGACAAGTGATATAACTACATTTCAAGGGACGGTTTACAAAGTCTTAACCCTTTGGGGATGAGGAGTTGAAGAAAAGCCAGATTGATCAGATAGAAATATGACAGAAACAGGGCTGACCACAGAAGATGGATTCACCTCCCAGTAGATGGAGGATTCCCGATCTCAGCAGCAAACCCATCACCTAAATCATCATAATATTTCCATATGGGAGCTCTGTCCAAGTTCCAGATGCACCAGAACGACTCGATGACTTTGTAGTTCCAATAAATTCAATACCCACCAGAGTGGGTGGTGGTTACGATCGAATGCATTCTGGGTTCTTTCCAATTTTAATGGCAATTCAATTGCATTGCCAGCGATTCTAGCTTCCTGCTTCGAACCGATCTCCGCATGCTCTTCGGTGGCAGGTTGCAACCGTATGGCCATGTAAGATCTATATTTTTGGGTATCCTCCTTCGGTCGAAGTAAACAAATGGGTGAACAAATAAAGTCTACCCCTTCCTCTATAGTCACACTTGTCGGCCCAAGACAACCAATATAGTTCAAATACTTTTTTTTACCAGTTCAATTCCTTTTGCTTTATTTTTATATATTTTTTTGTACGTTGCCTTGGGGTGTGAACGATTGAATCGTGGATCGGTGTAATATATGTATAGGAGATTTTTTGTTGGTGGGTAATTATTACTTTATAGCAGCGCGTAAACAATCTGAAGCGGCTAATTTTAGTTGAAGAGATTATTCGCTCTGATTTTATGATTTTGCGGCCTCATTTCGTTGGTGAATCGTTGGAATTTATTGGATCAATGGGGTTAGCTGGGGATGGGGATGTCTTTAAATATGGTTTTTGGCAAACGAATAATAAATTTCCAGAGCAATATCTATTTGTAGGGTAATGGAAATTTTATCAGAAACAAAACTGCTCTAATATAGGACTTGAAATGTTTTCAAATCTTATCAAAATTTAAGCTATATCCCTTCGCTCTTTCTACACCTTCCCTACACCCATTTTATTCCCTCCACCGATTTATTTTCTCTACTTGTCGGCCTCTTGACGGCTTTTGAAAAAGTGCCGAAAATCAATCGAATCGCCCGACGATCGACGATCGACGCCCTGAAGAATCCATCAGTACTCTTTAAACGTCTGCAACTTCACTCTCGGGTGAGTGGTGTTGTGTGTGTGTGTGAATGGGTGGGGTTTTGGGGGTATAATCGCCTGTCTGTTCCACCTTTCAACGAGGCGGCAAAAGTTTTCATACGAAACTGAATTTTCCGCTTCCCGAATTATCGGGGAAATTAATCTTCTCAATAGTGAGTTTGCCCAGTGCCATCTAACACATGTGCTAAACTCTCTGCACAGAGAGAAATATATTTTTTTGGTGCTTGATAAGTTTTTGATTTTAAAATAGATTTAAATAGTATGTATTATATATTTTTTTTAATATCAAGAAGGAAATAAACTAGCAAAAAAGCTACAGTCTAGAGCTGGGGACTAGGAAATACCCTGTACCCAAAACAATGTGTGAAATTAAAGGGATCATGGTTATTATAAATTATTCATGACTGTTGTTGATTATATTTGGTAGTTATAATTTTTAAAGTTTCTATGATCTGTTGCTTTACGCTGAAGGAAAGGAGACAGTAACTAAAGGACAGACTACATGCCTAAATAAATTCTCTCTATTTAAATTCACCAACATTTTCTCTCTCTGCACACATGTTCATGTGTGTGTGGGTGATCTAACGGTATACATATCTATTTCAAGGCCTTTTCCATCCTTGTAATTGCTCCTACTCCCTCTCCTTCTAGCGGCTGTTTGCATGGCAGCTTGTTGTTTTTGCTTTTTGTTCCAGCTTCCTTCTATCTCGTGTGTGTGTGTATTTGTGTGTGTGTTTTTGAGCGCACGCCGATTGAAGTTTTTGGATGAGATGCCGACGACGACGACGACGTTCGTCAAATTTGTTGGCATCAGCAAACAGTTCGGGATTCCAGCTACAACAACAACAATGAGAGCTGCAGCAAACGAGAGCAATAACAATGCGGGCAGCATGCGCCTCATCTGTACACCCCAAGTGGGAAAGAGACAGGCAACGAGACCACCCAAAGCGCAACATCCCCTTCCCTCCTCCTACTCCCACGACACACACATACACACACAGAATAACCGCAGAAATCCATATTTCTCTAGCCTGCGCTTTTTACGATAAATTACAAAACCAATGCAACAGGGAGCAGGAACAGCCAGGAGGAGAAGCTATCATTCATTCATACGGCAGCGGGATCGCGATCCCGTTTCCCCTCCAAACTGCCGCACATTTCGTGTAAACATGTGTAAATCATGACCCGTGTGTTGATGGCCTCCACCTATGTGCATGGGGGGAAGGGGGAAGGCAACATATGACGTTGTCCTCCTCCAGCAGCAGCGGCGAAACTTTTGCACTGCGACCCCATCCTCTGCGAGTTCTTATTGCTCCTCTCCTCTTTCATCCCCCTCTCGATCTTCCTGCCTCGTCTGTAGATCTCCTTTTTGTTTGTCCAATCTAGACAATTTTCTTCTTTAATATCATTGATTTTGGAATACAGTAAAGATGCCATATCAGAGGAGCTATCCTTGATATCTTCCTAAAATCAATTTTCTCTTGCACTCGTAGGGAAGTACCCCTGCAGCATCCAGCAAAGCGAACATGCAACTGCACACATTTGGAATCCAATTCAGAATCTCGAAATTGTATTGTCCCGAAAAGGCAAATATTATTTATTCCAGAGCCCTGAGAACTTTTTCCTCTCGGCTTGCGTCCACATGGAGTGGAGAAAGGCTACGGGGGCATAGAATGAAAGGGGTGGGCGACGACCGCCTGCATATCCGAACAACAACAACAAAAACATATTTTCGGTAAGGTTTATTTATACTTAAAGCGTTTAAACAACAAACAAAGAGCCAGCCAAAAGGGCAAGTTGAGGGGTATAATCAGATAGCAATACATAATGATCACGATGCTTGACCAGCCGAAATAAGTTCATTTCAGGGGCGTTTAATTCTAGATATTCCAAAATATGATGGTTTATTATATAAATTCATAATTTATTTACTAAAATGTTTTTTAAATGTTATGAATAAATGGAAATATTTTCAATAGCTCAAACATATGCATTAGTTATTTTAAAGAACATTTAGTTACAACAGTAAATTAAGTATATTAATTTAATTGTCAAACATTTTTAAATTGACCGCGAAAATGACAGTTCTTGCCTTGAATGTTGGAAAATGCTTAAATGTATAAACTGATCTTTCCTATTGGTTTTTGCATATGGTTTCTCACCATTTGATCTTTATAAAGGCTTATAACAGTTAACATAGAAATCATCCTATTTTCGAACCTGGTTTATGAAAAGGTGAATGGTATTTTTCAGCACACAGGTCACTGAATATAACAGCGATCGTAACAGCATTGGAATTTAGAGTGAGAAAATATCGCAACATCGATATTTGGGCAAACTAAATATCGATATATCAACTAAAGACACTCGATAGCATTCTGTTAATGAGAGCAGGTCTGTTAATATATTTTACTTCCTACGTGTCAAATGTTATCTAGACGTGTAAAATGTTTATTAACAGCTTCGGGATTCAGTGTGAGCAGAAACATTCTACATGAGAATTTGACTCCATGTATCTGTAAACGTGTAAAATTATTATCTAGACATGTAAGGTGTAAAATTTTAAGTAACAGCTTCGGAACTCAGAGTGACCAGATCGCAACATCGATATTTGGTCAAACAAAATATCACGATAAGTACCATTTTGAGAAAAAACCAAGCGATCGTGATTCACAACTAAAAAAAAATCGGCGGATACGAAAGATTGAAAAATTAAGTGCTACTAAATCCGAAAAAGAACGCGAATTTGTAACGAAACCGCGGTTTAATCAAGCAACTGTGGATTAAGGAGTGTCTTCCCAGCGTGTGTTTGTGTGTGCGCATGTGTGGTGTGCTTGGGTGATCGGCGCATAGGTGGAAATACACCGAAAAAGAAACGAAAAAAAAAAGCGTACAGCCGACGCGCAGACGCATCTGAAAAACTGCCGAAAAGTGCGGAAAACGCGAGTGAAAAGTGCGGAAGTTGCCGGGAAAGCGAGTGCCTGTTGCCAAGCTGCAGCTCCAGCGGATTTAATATTGAAAAGCGATAAAGACAAGCAGCGAATATGGGTTGTGCCGTGAGTACAGCACGCGATAAAGAGGCCATCGAACGCTCCAAGAACATCGATCGGGCGCTGCGAGCGGAGGGCGAGCGGGCCGCCTCGGAAGTGAAACTGCTGCTTTTGGGTGCGTCTTTGCTCTTATTACTTCCCACTACTTCCCTCCTTTATTCTCCTTTTACTTTTAACGTTAATTTACTTGTCGAACTCCGTATTCGGTGCAAAATTCGCTTGGATGACCTCGTTTTTTGTGCCTGGGCGGGGTGGGTTTCGGTTGTGGACCGTTTTATTTTTTCGGCTACTGTGGTGAGTTCGGCGCAGGATTTTTGCCGGCAATCCCCTAGGGAATAACCCCTCCTTCCAGTGACTTTCCAGCGGCTGGCAAACAACTGTTAGTTCTGTGCGATACAGTGAGACACGCCTAAAGTCTACTGGTTCTTGCTATAACGAAAATAATTGATATTGCTCAAACGTATAAGTGTGATATCTAACTTTTTTATGAGTTATTAACGCTTTTAATTCCTTGATCCTCGATTCGTAATTTTAAATATTAGGAATACAAATAATTAAGGGGATATTGGTATGACTAACCCCTTTATTTATTGGTTTTTATAAGAAACTCAAGACTTTATTCTCAACTTTTTCCTAGAACCAAAATGTTTGTAAATAAAACTTTATAAGCAATTACAACTGTTTATTCGAGTGCGCATTATGCAATGCATGTGTCCAATATTTCGTTGGCGATAAGGGAATTGAACGTAAATTGAAACCAAATGTCTCGGGTCTCCTCCGTTCTTGATTCTCGTCTTATGGCACGCACTGTTCTTCAGATCTTTTGGATTGGATCGCCTTGCCGCCGCCAGAACAAGTGGGGCGCCGCATGTTTGTGGCGCTTTGATACGAGGCTTGGTTATCGGTGGTTCTAGCTCTGGTTGCATTGGTTTCTTCTTACGGGGGAAGGGGAAGCATCCATTGAAGCGTCGAGGCGCCATCATATCGCAGCACAATGCATCGCATTGGTGACCCGACCTCTGCGGCAAAGGCAGCGAAACGAAATGAAATGCCGCTGGTGCGATCTAACCTTCTGCAATTAAATTTTCCACACACCTGTGCATATAGACATATCTGCCATATAGACAGACGGACACACACGATATGGGAACGACGATAGTGCTTGTGTACTTTTCATTTTCATTGCCATTCATTTTCGAAAAAACAATGCAGTTGAGGCTTTTCTCCAGCTTTTCTGCGATATTGTGTTGCACTGCTGCTGATTTACTAATGAAGCGACCCGCGATGACTAAGGCATCACCCAGTGCCAGGCGAAAAAGTACAGTGGAAAGTGGATAATAAGAACACCTGGATAAACTATCAACTTTCTTGCAGGGCATTATAATTTAAGTCAGAAGCATGAAACGCAGTGAAGGAGTCATTTCCAACCCTATATTCCATATATATTGTTGATCAGCATCAAATACCCAATCGATCTAGCTATGTCCGGTTGAAAAATATTTTTTTTAATTTTTTCAAAAATTCTAAAAAATCATAAGGGGTTACATCGTTAAAATTGCCAAAATTTGACAAAAAATTAAATTTTTTAAATTTAAAAACTTAGTATCCTGATTTGTTAGCGATATAAAAAGTTTCACAGAAAAGTTGTCCGAATTTAAATTAATGAATTTTTGACTGAGTTATGGTAATTGAAAAACTGTGATTTACCCACAAAATAAGCACATAAAAATTTTGATTTAATATACCTAGAATACACACGTTGGCTTAGTTACGATAGTTTTCCTACCCCTGGTACCCAAAATTGAAATCGAAAATAGGTTTCCCAGAGACATAAATATGTCAATGAAAAACCTGTTTTAAAAAGGCCAAAGGAAATGCGAAGAAAATGTCTAAAACTTAGAGGTTTTGAGTTTTCAACCCCCAACATTGTTTACTTCTTTTATTCACTGTTATCGCACATTTCCCCAGTTGTTTTTCCAGCTGAAAAAAAGAAGCCTGGTTGGCCAGTGTAAATTGATGCAGGTTGACGGCTGAGGCCAGAAAGCACCTTGCACTAGTTGCATTTCAGGCTAACATTTTCCGCTGCCGCTGCACTTGGTTTAATTGTTGATATTGTTGCTGTGCGTGTGTGTGCGAGTGTGTTTGCACTTCTGTTTTTTCTTTTTATAACGAAAACTGCTCTCTGATCTCTGCTGTATTTGTTGTTTTCTTCTGCCTGCTGCCGCTGCGCCTGCGCTCTCTCTTTGTGACTGGCTCTCCCACTCTCAAAGCTGAGTAATTGGCCATTCGTTGTTGTTGCTGTTGTTAATGTTGTTATTGTTGTTATTGTTGCTTTGTTATTTGTCCGCTGACATTTCAAGTGGGGTGAACGATATTAGCGCAAATAAATGGCCCCACCACCAAATGCAGCTGCCAGAGCTACACGGCAAAAAAAATGGGGTTTTACTTAAGGTACATTCAGAGAAAATAGTTCAGACAAAGAACATGCATTTATTTGTATAACATAGAAAACAAATTTTAAGGCTGATTCTACTCAATAAAGAATACAAAAAATAATACAAAATAATATAATGCCAAAAAATACATTATTTTTCTGCGTGTCCCAGCAGCAATTGCTTCTCAAATTGGATTCGGAATTGACAGCCCCCAACGTTGCTGGCTGGGCTTATTGTGTAGATTTAATAAAAAGCTCCTCCGCCGCTGACACTCAATTTATATTACATTCGCCCTGCCCTCTCTCTTTTTTCCCTTTCTGCACGCCATTCAATTGAAAAACTACAACTTTCGGTTCAATTTCTTTTTATTTTTTCACTCCATAAGTCCACAAGCTGATAACATTTCGTGTACAAGTAAAAAGAATGCGAATTAATGTTATTTTTTAACGATATTTGCATCGAGAGAGTGAGAGCGAAGAAGGAAAGAATACTTAAGCCGCATTTGGGGCATGAGTAAGCTTCTCTCACATACTATATGTACATACATATATCTGTAAAAAAAAAGTAATACTATATAAACAAAACAAATGTCATGCTTCGGACGCACCAATATCAAAATCGAAGCAACAGCAGACTGTCAACACAGCGACTTAATCTACAAAATATACTCGTATATATTTCAAGAATGCACATACAAACAAACCCTGAAAGTATCATTTCGCTTATCAAAATTATCGCTAAACGACCTTATACGTCAATTTTCAACCATATAAACCGTTAAATAATTGATGAAACCGTAATAATTTATATAAGAAAGTTGGGGGGGAAAATCGATGATAAGTAAGATTTTGCGTGAAAGTCATCAGTGGGTTCATCACTAGACAAGGGTGGGGGTTTCCGTTGCACGGCCCTATTTCATCTGATTTAATTGTTTACTTTTTTAGTCGATCCGCACAATTTTACACTCTGGCGCCGCTGATTAACACATTTCCCCGCCACCTCAGATAACTGACTTCCAGGCGCCATTTAACACGATTACTCATGGCGCAAACACTTTCCCAAAACGAGAAAGAGAGGAGCAGTACCGCGATTCTCCTCTTCTCTCGCTGGCTTTGGCTATTGTTTCTGTATGGGGTTCTCAATGGGGGCCTTAGTCACCGCTTCTAATGATGATTCTACAGACTTCAATCATCACCCTGGCCAATTACTGGACTGCACACGCCCGGAAAGTCCCCGCCCTGGAGGGATTGGTTGAATGAGAATAATATACCCTTGCAGGGTACTATAATTTTAATCAGAAGCTTGTAACGGTGTGAAGTTGTCATTTCCGACCCTATAAAGCATATGTATTCTTGATCAGAATCAAAAGGCGAATCGATCTAGGCATGTCTGGGAAAAAAATACATTTTTCGAAATTTTTTAAAAATTTATAAGAGGTAACATCGTTAAAATTTTCAAAAATTGCGAAAAATTTTAGATTTAAAAAATTTTAAAATGAGTATGCAGATTTAATAATCTGATTAAAACTAACATAGGGCCGCTTTTCGATTCAAATTAATGCTATTTTGGCTTAGTTATGAATTATTCAAATTTTGATTTTATTAAAAAATGTTTATTATCAATATTAGTATAATATTGATATATATTAATTCAAAGAATGCAAATATGGACCCTATACAGTTCAGGCTTTTCTAAAGAACCTGAACTGAAATTTAAAACAAACCAATATAAAAATATAATCGTCTAAAAATATATTTAATTACACCTTGGCGAGCTCATTTTTATGATTTCTAATATATAAAAATTTGCGATCCCTTATACCTCTCTTTCTGCGATTCCAGAGCCCCAAGAGCTCTTCGCTCTTCGCGCGATATCCACTGCATAATGATGTTAATTATAATACCGTTTGAGCAAGGGGCACGATCAGCACGATCGTGATGATAATGGGCTTGTAAGCGAGGCTTAAGATCGCTTTTGTGCGTACCGCCGTTGTTCTAGCCCTCTCCCGGTCTTTCTCCCTTGTTATGGCACACAGCTAACGGTGCATTGATAAATGAATACCCGGACACACACACACACACATACTATATGTTGCTATTATTATTATTATTATTAAATTGACCTTTTTCTGCCGTTCATTTGTGGTTTTCGTTGTTAGTCTTCTTTTTTTCCATACGGTGGCAGCAACGCCGCCTAATGTCCATATTCGTATTCAGATCTGTCATTTCCATCATTATGTGACGACGATCGACCGTGTTTTTCAGCCATTATCTCTGTGTGTCCTCTGTTTCTCGCTTTACGACATTTAGTTTATTGCAAAATTAGTACGCATTGTTAAGATTACCTAAAATTAAAAATAACTATTTGGATTTTGTTTACGAAAACATGCTCAAAGCAATGGTAAATGCGGTATAGTAATATATTTTAAGGTTGCAGAGGGATTTCATTGAAATAAACCTTTTATTATTAAGGTTTTAATTTGTATATTAAAAATACATTTTAAAATTTAATTTAATTGTTAAAAATACTGTTTTAAATGTTGTGTACTTGCTACAGCTAGTATTCAGAATCTTATCAGTATCACAAAGATAAATCATAAGATTAATAAAGTTGAATATATAAGACTAAGAATCATGCCAATCCTTGGCATATTTGTTAACTACATTGTGATAACTAATAGTTCGACCCAAGGGAGTTTTAAAACTTATATGCATGATTTATTTTTAAAAAGGAAACAAAATGTATTAAAACAATCATGGTTTTAGTGCACTTACCCATCATCCAAGCCCTAAAATGGAGAAAAAAGTGAAAGTAATGCTGTCTTAGAGCTCCTAGCAATTACCTAATCATCCGGGGCCTGTGACTGGGACTGGGGACCGAAAGTATGGGGCTCTGGGAATCGACCCAAACTGCAACAAAAAGGCGGCTTAATGCGCCATTGTTGCAATATCACCAGCAACACTCGTATAACGCTTGATAACTGAAATAAAACTTAGACCGGTAGCTATAGCTCAGCGGCAAGAGTTGCCAATTTTGTTTTTTTATTCCAGTGTTTTATTTTGCCATTTTTTTCCACTATTATATTGCTGAGCTGTCTTCATCGAAAAGGGAAACTGGTAAACACGTAATGTGATTATGTTTTTATCATTTGAAACAGAAATTAAACTCATGTGGTCAGCCAGCCGACAGATGATTGTGTTTGTTTATTATTAAAGCTCTCGCGGCGGTCAGGTCTCATTTTACAATTGAAAGTTTTCAAAAGTATTACTGTGTCGGCTTTAGGTTCCCCCGGGTTTTGATAGGCGTTGAGAATCGCTCGGAGCCTCCGGGGGAGGTTCAATGAACCCAAGGGCTTGGCGATAATATATTTAAAAAGGCTTTGGTACTCATTTCATGGCAACATAAATTCAGCAAATAATGATTAAGGTTGAGGAAAATGAATAAATTAATAAATTTGTTTAGCTATAAATATTATTTGTCTTTTACATTATATGGCCCATAGACGTACATATCTTACCCATTCTCAAGATTCATTCATTCATTTCAACATGACCAGCGCAATTAAGCGTAAACCGGCAGCTTTTTGGCCTTTTGATCCCGCCAATTGAGCGAGTTTTCTGGCATCGTTCTTCGCATTCATTCATAAAAATCCTCTTCCCATTCCCCCCAACTTCAGTTTAAGTCCACCTCTTTCCATTTTCATTCCTACGATCGTACATTCATCGATTCATTCAGCTTTTTGAGTTCCGAACGTGATATTTCGATTAGTTATGGACAGGTCACGCCCACCAGGGAGAAGTATTTTGCATGAATGAGCTCACACCCCTTCTGTGGAAGACATGTGAATGTGTTTTATTAAATTGTTTATATTATATATAATTAATCCCTTTACCAATTGATATTTATTTTAGGAGCCGGCGAATCGGGGAAATCCACGATAGTGAAACAAATGAAGATCATCCACGAGACTGGCTACTCGCAGGAGGAGTGCGAGGAGTACCGTCGAGTGGTATACAGCAACACTGTCCAGAGCCTGATGGTAATCATCCGTGCCATGGGACGTCTTAAGATTGAGTTTGCCGATCCTGGCAGGACGGATATTGCCCGCCAGTTCTTCACACACGCCTCCGCTGCGGATGAGGGCATCCTGCTACCCGAGATTGTTCTCCTAATGAAGAAACTCTGGGCGGATGGTGGAGTACAGCAGAGTTTCGCCCGTTCTCGTGAATATCAGTTGAATGACTCGGCGGGCTACTACCTCAACTCGCTGGATCGCATCGCGCAGCCAAACTATATTCCCACCCAGCAGGATGTGCTCCGTACGCGAGTCAAGACCACTGGCATTATTGAGACGCACTTCTCCTGCAAGCAGCTGCACTTTAAGTAAGTTGGGATTACTTTGTTTACTTTTGGGTTGATGTGATTCTAATGGATGAACTCTTCTTACAGACTGTTTGACGTGGGCGGCCAGAGATCGGAGCGCAAGAAGTGGATTCATTGCTTTGAGGGAGTTACAGCCATCATCTTTTGTGTAGCACTATCGGGTAGGTGTTATTTATTAAAGTTAATAGTGTATTTATATAACGTTTAACACTTTCCCCTCTATATTTTAGGCTACGATTTGGTTCTGGCCGAAGATGAGGAAATGAATCGCATGATCGAGTCCCTGAAGCTTTTTGATTCCATCTGCAACTCCAAGTGGTTTGTGGAAACCTCTATAATACTTTTCCTCAACAAGAAGGATCTGTTCGAGGAGAAGATCAAGCGATCTCCATTGACGATATGCTTCCCAGAGTACACAGGTAAGAAGCCATGATATTAAAACCATCAATCAGATATTAAATTTCTTATTAAAAACAGGTACCAACACCTTCGAGGAGGCGGCCAACTACATTCGCATGAAGTTTGAAAATCTCAACAAGCGAAAAGACCAAAAGGAGATCTACACGCACCTCACCTGCGCCACGGACACGAACAACGTCAAGTTCGTCTTCGATGCCGTCACTGATGTGATCATCAAGAACAATCTGAAACAAATCGGTTTATTCTAAGGGGCGGCAAGAGATCATCATTATTTAGCTTGCGTCGTATGTAGTATTAAAGGAAAACACGCGTCAACACATTTCCATTACCCGCTAAGGAACTCGATACACTTACGCTCTATTTACATACAAATTCGTAATTGTATGCTCCATATATATACATATGTTTTAAAATGCTTTACATGCTTGACACACACTTATGTTTAATAACCGATTTGGTTGCCAGTAGTCGCGGAACAAATTAACCAACTGCAATTTAGTTAACCACCGTTGCGCACCCCATAGGTTAACTAATTTAAAAACCTTAGCCCCTAACAAATGTAAAGTACGCAAAGGACAACCGATGGGTTTCTGTATATCCTAATAACCAGCCCCCTGAGCTCGATCGGGTTTCTTTTGGAACTTAGTTAAGTTACTTTTTCGCTATCTAATGGCGCAGCCGCAAAAGGGGCAATTATTCCATCGTACAGATGAGCCCTTTTCGACCGCGACATTTGTTTTGCGTTTTGCAGCCCTGGAGCTGTTACGCGTTTAATTTTTTTGCCAAGAGCTTGACAGCGTTGAATTAATGTAAACTTTTAGGCCTGGAGTTGTATGCGATCGCTTATAAGCCTTAAATGTAACTAGTAAACTTACTAATATGTTTAGTAATAGCATAAATAAAAAGACAATTTATAAAACAATATACATATTTGTACTGCCTAAGTTGCCACATCGTCGGGTCACTAGGCATTAGCTTTTTTCATCTCAAATCGGAATTGATATTTAAATTCTTCAGAGAATATTAAATATTTAATTGTTTGTTATAAATCTTAAACGTTAAAATTAGAAATTAGCTTAGAAATTAATTTTGTATTTAACCTATATCTTTCCTGCTTTTTTGTATCCCTCGAAATGTGTTCTTTCCCTGTATTCCCGTTTCCTTTGAATGTTATGACAACTCTGGATCTCAGTTGGCCCCTTTTGTGTTGTCGGCTTGTCAACGTCGTTGTCAGACCTTTCGGAAAAAGTTGTTGAAATTCTGCATTCGTTGTAACAGAAAATCTTGGACAATGATTCGAGCAACTTTGATGGCCAGAAACCATTTGAAATGCAATCCATTTGTGGCTGGATGCCGGGTCCATTTCTGGGGTAAGTAGAGAGCACGTGCTGTGGTGTCTACTGGAAAGTGAGCAATCTAATAAATCGTTGTTCGTGTGTCTGTGTCTTGCAGCTGGCTCTTCTACCTTAAAGGTGCGTAGTGGTAACAAGTCGGTGGTAGTGCTAAATTCCCATCGCTTATACTCTGTGGAAGGAACAGAAGGTAGCAAGCCGACCAACTTTATGGATGTTGGGCCGATTGGGGTGAATGATCAGGGTCACCCACAGAAGGGAACTGCTACCACGGAGTTGCGTGCACCACCGACAATTGTAGGCAAACTGGGCAAAATCGAGCCCCTGGAGACTTGCGTGAACTTCAAGGACAAGTGCGACGAGGGCATTCCCCCGGAGGGACAGGAAAAGCAGGAAAAGCAGAGCGATAATCAGAAGAAGGCTAAGGAGGCCCAGGATGCGGCTGCCAAGAAGTTGCAGGATATCGTGGCAAATCTGCCCAGCAAGCAGCAGACCGAGAAGTACTTTTTCCGCGTGGTTGCCTTCGCCTATGATCTAACCTACCTCACTGGTACCTGGGTGCTGCACTTTATCGATCAAAACATCATTCAGAACGACAAGGTGCAGCATTACTGGAAGCGCTTCCACGAGAAAATGGAACAGGCCAAGAAGGATTAACCCGCAGCGGAGTGTATTTAATATCCGAATGCATGCACAACTAAACAAAATAAAGATAACATGCTGACAACCAGGAAACCGACATACGTCTGCACTTTCAGCTGCTTCTCGGGTTTCAGTTGGGAACCACGGTGTAGCCCTCCAGCAGTTTGGCCAAATATTTGAGAATCTTGTTGCGGGCGGCCACTAGTTGCGGAGGATCGGTTTTCACCGGCTCATACATGTTGGCACAATGAGCGGTTCCTTAAAGATAGAATACATTTCAAATGTGTGTTTTGTACTTATTCAATGGGGAGACAACCTCACCTTCTATGTAAATCGTAGGAGTTGCCTGGTCCGTAGATTTGATCAGACCCAACGCATGCCAGGGATCAATAGAGCCGTGCACATACAGCACATTGGTCGTCTGTGGATGCAGGGCTCCATAATGCTTGTTGGTCTGCGACACAACCTGCTCCAAATACTTGGCATCCATGTTGTCCGAGAATACATCCATGCACTGGCGTATAAAGAAGTCCACTCCAAACCGGCCACCAAAAATGTCAGTCTTATCTTCCGATGTCTGATAAAAGCCAAACTCGTTGCAGGTCTGGTATGTCCACTGACGCATTCCCTTGGCAGTCTCCGAGTCCCAGGACACGTTCTTCATGTCAGCCACCATTTTGGCATACTTGTAGTCAAGACATGTGGTGTTCGATTCCTTCAGCAGCATCGTATTCACCAGGCCCAGACGAGTCACAGGCGGGCCAGCGGTGGTATTAAGCATTACATCGCAGATCTAGAGATATAGATAGTATAGTTATTTAGAGGATTATGTAGGTGCAAGGCTTACATCGTCAATGGTTATGGTGGCATGTGGACTGTTGTCCTTGTTGTACTGAACAACGCCGGCAAAGTTTCCAGCCAGATTCTCAAAGAAACTGGCAATATCAAGTTGGTTGTCAATCGAGTCCTTGATTGGAGTGCAGGTCCTAAATTAAATGCAGTTAGATTATACAGTCTTGAAGAGAATGTGGGGTTATAAATAACTATAGGTTAAGTTATAGCTTTTTAAATCTGAAGAATCAGCTATCTTAAGAGTTTAACATTCCTTTGGAATTTTCCAGAACACTCACTTGAACTTCTCGTCCAGACTACGTTGCCCGATCATGTACCTCATAAGGATTTCCACTTGGGAAAAGCTGCGCGCCACCGCCTCCACGCATTCCGGTTTGTAGGCGGCCAGCGAGGCCTTAACCACCTCGAAGTACTCCTTGAAGTCCACTTCGGCCAGCAGCGGGCCACTGGAGCTAATGGAGCCGAAGATGAGATGAGGATACTTTTCCCTGGCCCAGGCAGCCAGCGATCCTGGATAGGAGCCACCAAAAGCAATCCATTTCTGTCCGTCGGCCAGATTGAACTTTGCCTTCATGGCAACCACAAACCTGGCCAGATCCTCAAGCGCTTGCTCGGAGCTCAGATAGGCCAGATTGGCGGTGGACAAGTCCTCAGTGGGATGGCTCTTGCCGTAGAAACGATGCTCCAGCTGCAGACACAGAGCACCGAAGTGCTCGGCATAGTGCACCCAGGCGCCTTCCCGCATCCACTTGGCCGAGGCCTCGCCCTCGCCACCAATCATCAGGAATATGGGGGCGGAGGAGTCGTTTCTATAGTGGTCGGCATTCACAAAGTATCGCTGCTGCCAGGTGCGTGAGTCCTGACGGTTGAAGTGATCCAGCGGCTGCTCGAACCAGAGATCATCGGCGGGCAGGGACCGCTGAAGCGTGGCCTTCTGGCTGGGGTCACCGATGAAGCCGCTGTATAGGCGACCTCGTCGGAATCGCTCTCCCTGCGAGGGCACTATCAGTCCCACGAGGAGCAGGGTTAGCCCCAGGGGCCACAGAACGCCCCCAATAGAAGGCATCGTGTTTGTTTCCTTTGTTTGCTTCGGTCAAGTGGGAGATTTATTATTATTGAGTATTTGAGTTGCTTCGCCTTTCGCCGCTCAACTGTAAATAGCGATTTAAAGAGTGGTGTGAGCTATATATAACTATATAGGCACCGTTATGTGTGTGTCGTCGTTCTTACCCCGATTATTCAGTTCTCGCTTCTCTCGCTTCCACGCCTCCAAATGAAAACCGCGATAATTGCAAAAACTAAGCAAAATGTAAACACCGCGTTGCCAACTGTCGCCGGCGGCTGCTGTTCTTGTTAGAGCGGGACAGCTAGCTGAGCATGTTAAAATGTTTTTGCCGTTAAAATTCAAACTTCGAATTCAAGTTTGTTGGCAACGGCAACCAAGCAACGCTGGAAAATTCTTGTTTTCAAACAGAAAACAAGCCGTCAAAACATAAAGCATAAAATAAGAGTAGACACAAACCTCTCATCATATGTTACATTCGGAAATATATATATATTTTATTAATATAATCCATAATAATACCTGTAAGAATGGCCCATGAGCAGGAGGCCTGTCGGCAGCTTCTGCCGCGCGCCATTTTTGGAATCAATGGAAAGGTGGAGAATGGAGTGCGCCAGCATCCGGCCACCGGATCCCTGATCTTTGCGCTGGGCAACAAAATCGGGATCGCCGACTACGCCAAGAATACCCAGGAATTTGTGGCGGGGCACACCAACACCATATCCTGTCTGGATCTGAGCAAGAGCGGCAAGTACATGGCATCGGGTCAGATTAACCACATGGGCTTCAGGGGCTACGTCATCGTCTGGGACTATGCGCAGCGCAAGGAGATTGCCCGTCACGATCTACATAAGGTCTCCGTGCAGGCTATCTGCTTTACGGCCGAGGACCGCTGTGTGGTGTCTATTGGTGGTGTGGACGACGGATCTGTCATCATCTTCGACATGGAGTCATTGTGAGTTGAGTCATAGTCCAAATAGATCACAGCTAATCCTGCCTCCCACAGCTCTCCGATTTGCCAGACTCCGGCCTCTCGGGCCATTTCCGGCAATGCCCTTACTGTCCGGCCATTGCACAATAATCCGTACTTCTTTTTAACCGCCGGAGATCGTCATTTGCGCCTTTGGAGCATTCTGCGGGAACAGAAGAAGTTGTACGTCCAGGATGTCCTGATGGCCAGCAAGACTCGGGTCTTTTACTGCGCCCGCATCAATAAGACGGATGATTTCGCTTATTTGGGTACTGGAACCGGCGATATCGTGAAGATTGCCCTCAATTGCTGCGATCGTGATTTTGTAAGTAAGCCGGGATCCACCAGCGGCATCCTTGGAGCCTTCGGCACCCACAATCCTCGAAAGCCAACGGGTCGGGATTGCAATCGGTATGTTAATGGAGTTCGCGCTTTGTATGTCCTGGAAGGAGGACGTCTGCTGATTGGTGCCGGCAATGGCGATATCGAATTGGTGGAGGAGCGCACCGATGTGCCGCTGATCAATTTCCGGGACTATCCAGGACCCACCTGGCCGTATCTGCGCACCCTAAAGAAGACCCATGTTTCGGGAAGGATTTCAACGTTTGTTCGCTCTAAGACAGATCTCTTTTACATTTGCACCGACACCAACGAGATTTACGGCCTCAACATAAAGACTTGGGTCCTGAAACTACTCCGAACATGTCACACCAAGTCCGTATACTGCATAACCTTTCCCAAGTGAGTTTTCCGTTGAAGGATTTAATAAGTTATAAAATAATACCTATTCCTTTAACCAGAAACTACTCAGCTGTTTTTGCCACTTCGGGCAAGGAGTCCATTCGCATCTGGTCCTCCGGACGCAAGCAGGAACTGCTCCGCATTATGGTACACAACTTTAACTGTGCCGCTGTTCGTTTCACCCATGACGGGACCAGCATCGTCTCCGTCTGGAACGATGGAATCATTCGAGCCTTCACCCCGATTACCGGAAGACTCATCTATGCCATTCCCAATGCTCACAATAAGGGTAATAATACTGAACTTTGATTCTTGCTACTTTTACCAACCATGTCCTACCCTATCCAATTCAAGGATGCAGCGCCTTGGCCGTAGCCTCTACAGGTCGCCTTATCGTTACGGGAGGCATCGAGGGTCAAGTTAGGGTCTGGAAGATTGATCCCTATCGTCAGGATCTCCTGGGCGTTCTGAAGGATCACTCGGGGCCCATAACGTCGCTAGATATTAATTACTTGGACACGGAGGTGATCTCTGCCTGCACTGATGGCTCCTGCGTCATCTGGGACATAAAGTAGGATGAGTATAATAAATTTTCTCTTACCAGTTAATGTTATAACCCAATTCCCGACAGACGTATGACCCGCAAGCAGGTGGTGACTTCAAACACTCAGTTCATGTCCGCTTTATATTTCCCAAGCGGTGTTCAGGTCATCACTTGCGGCTCCGACGGCCGGATCATCTACTGGAGTGTATACAATGGAGCCCTGATCCGGGAACTGACTGCCTCTAAGAAGTCCTCTGTTAATTGCGTGGCCATCAACGATACCGGGGACTACTTCATCAGCGTGGGTAGCGATCTGCAGGTGAAGCTTTGGGATTACAACAGCGGTGCCGTGGTAGGATTGGGTTCCGAGCACGCCTCATCGGTGATTAGCTGTGCCTACAGTCCCTGTATGACCATGTTCGTTACCGGGAGCACAGACGGCTCACTGATCATCTGGGATGTGCCGCGTGACTTCTGGGGAAGACCCAATCCACCGGATGCGCCTAGGTACTCGCAGCCCAAGTCCTCCTCCTCCAAGACCAAGCTGAGCGAGGTGCCTGCTCGCGTCAATTCCGGTACGAACCTGAAGCCACCAAAGGGCGAGAACATCGATGGACTGCTGAAGGCCACTGCTAAGGACGATCTCTGCTGCGTGGAGTGTCCGCCGTGCGCTAAAAAGGAGGTTAAGCCTGATCCCTTCGCTGAGTGCGGAATCGTTCCAGATGTGAGGAAGTGCTGAGTCCTAATTGTTTAAGTTATATATTTATGAATAAAATTTGTTTAGCGACAGTGGATATATGCATAGAAACTAATTCGAGTTTTACCAGTTTTAGGCAATACAGACTTTTGAGGTTGCGAGTGTGAATTAGGAGGTGTCTCCGAAGAATATAGGCCCTGAGAAGGAGCATTTGAATGGTCGTTCTCCAGTGTGAGTTCTGATGTGGCTCTGTAGATTACTATTCGATAAAAACGACTTTGGGCAAGGGGAACACTTGTATGAGCGCTCTCCAGTGTGAATCCTGATGTGGTTATGTAGTAAAACCAAAATTTGTATATAATTTGTCTTGTTTACGATGAAAACACGGTTAAAGAGACCAAGTGGTCTTTTTTCAAATATGGCGGATCAGAAAGTCTGAATAAAAAGTGCCTAAAAAGTACTGCCTTTTTTAACTTATCTGCACCATAACGCCCCCTTGTTTTCAAAATTGAAAGGTAATGTAACAACTGATGTAAAATTTTTTACATTGTAAAACGAGGAACTTTGGAACTTATTATTAAAAACATAGGACCGAATAAAATAAATAATAATTAACCTTGCGAAGTGTATACATTTCTTTACTTATTAAAACAGTCACTAAATTATATATTCATATATATATGATCATATTAGTTCAGTATACAGGTATGACGTCTTAAAAATGTTAATTCATCAGCAACTTCTCTTAAGTCTCTTTATCATTTCTGTTTACCTATCTTTTATTTATTTCACCCGCAAAATTCTGTTAAGATCTCCCATTTTTATAAATTCACTCGCAAAATTCTGTTAAGTTCTCTCATTCTTTTAAATTCGCCCGCAACATTCTGTTAACGTTTACCAGCACTTTTCTGTTAACATTCTGCTGAGAAACTATCGATACTATCGTTTCTGAACATCGATGTCTTTATCGATGTGCCCATCGGGTTTTGCTATCGATGTTGTTTCACCTCTATCCCCGCTGGACGGTCGGTCGCGTTTTTCGTCATTCTTTAAAAAACAAAAAATAATAAACAAACGGAGTGCAAGCAAGTGAATTGTCGCGCAATTGATAGCGGCCTATTGGTGCGGTGCGTGTGCAATAATTGAGACAAACAGAAACTAGGTACGCGAAACCAAATGAGTGTGCAGAAAAACCAGTTCTGCCCCAAGTTCGCGCAGTGTCTCCTTTTCGCTGAGCCATCGCGAAAGATGAAATAAGAAGAGAAAAACAAGCAGTGTCCAGTTTTTATGGTCTGCAAAGGAAAATCATTAATGAAAGTGTCGTGCAATGGAGCCGAATTAATCAAAATAACATCGGGCAAAAATGCTGCTTAGCTGCTGTGAAACTTTCAATAAGGCCAAAGGCGACTTCCTGCGAGCGGCGCTTGCTTAACTAAAAAAAGTAAGTACGAGCCCTAGTACAGGCCGAGTATACACACACGTCAGTTGTTGTTGTGTTGCCGTTTGTTGTTGTGTGGGTTTTGGCATCTCCTTATTTCTCCTCCTTCTTGGCCGCCTCTGCAACGACATGGGTGTGAGTGCATGCGTGAGTGTGCAGGTAGGAAAGAAACGGTTGATAAAAAGAGAAAAACAGAAAACGAGTCAAGGGCATTAATTATAGCGTGCGATTTAGCGGGGGATAGTGGCTATTTTTAGGTCCCTACGGTGTGCCAATTTTATACGCCACTTTTATAACGCCTACTTTATGTAATTCGCAAATAATTGGGGGAAATCGGATCCCAGTGAAAAATCGATAAATCAGCGCCGCTGCAGCTGGGTTTTCATCCTGCCTGTAAGTGTGTGCGTGTGTGTATTCGTGGGTCGTTTTGGAGCTGCCGGGCACAATTGGGGTAGGAATAGAGCCCTCTCTCTCTCTAGCGTTCTCGCATCCTGTATCCTCGCATCTCCCTCAAATTTTCTCTCTCTTTCTTTCTATTCCCACTAATACACGGGCAGTGACTTACCGCAAAACAACAAATAAGCCGAACGCGTATTTTTGGCGGCCCACTCTTCTCTCTTTCTCTTTCTTTTGCCCCTGCCTTTGGCCCTTTCTCCAGCTGCATTTCCCAACAAATGGAAATGCAAATAAGAAAAATCAATAAAACCCGCATCAAGAGCTGTGAAAATAAAAGTCATCTAATGCAAAATATAAACATGGAAATAAGTTATTAACCCAATTTACACACAGTCGGTTGTGCTTTTCACGGAATTTCAGTGGGAATAACCTTTTTTATGGAGGAAAGCGATAAACAACTAATTCTATAGCCAAAAAATTAACGAAAATGTTATAATTTCACCGTTCAATCAAGAAAATATTAATTTTGTCAGAAAAATACACATTTCAAAGTGGTTTACAAACTTTTACAAAACATTGCCTTAGATTAATGTCCCTGTTTTAAGAGTTATAACATATAACAACATAACTTAACATTAACGTATAGTTAATACATCCCTATGCTCTAGAGTGATCGTGATAAATATCTTTATACCTGAAACTAACTTCGACTTCTACGAAATTCCCATCTTCAGCATCTTCAGCATCTTCATTTAAAAAAAGGCAAGGTATAGTTAAATATGACTGCATTGCCGACTAGTTAATCAATCAAACCAACACCAAATTTCCTCGAAACACCTCTATATATGACTCACTGACTGCCAACGAACCAGAAAAAAAAAAAAACAGAAAATAAGTAAATTCAAATCCCAACAGCTGTGTGCGTTTAAATTTATTCAGTTTGCTCAGCATTTGGCACTCTGTTTTCTGGATGCGCAATCCCCATATCACGATTCCCAGACCAATCCAAAATCCAAACAGAAGCGTGGGCATTCCAATTTGGCCAAAAGTCAAGTGGGTCTGGACTTAGGGGGCTTACTTATAGCAACTAAGTGATATGCGTCACTGTTTCCAGTGCAATTCTTATCCTTATCTTGGCCAGGTCAGGTACTATTATTAAAGAAGGGGGTGGCGGAATCTCCCTTTGATAACAGTTGAGGACAATATCATTATTTTATTATTATTATTTTTAAATCGAGAGAAAAATTTATGGTATTTGTCAAATCATATTCCAAAAATTAGGTGTTATAATTTCAGTCAGAAGCTTAGTTTTAATGATTTTCATGATCAAACCGGAAGCGTATTTAAACTTCGTTTCTTTCTTCCTCGTTTCCTATTATTTTTGCGTTATCGATGTCCTATTTATTTCTCGAGAATTGGGTTGCCAAAAGTTGCTATTTTTAAGCATGGAAAATGAAGTGCTTCATCGTCGCTTCTGGCAATCGATCAATAATGCCGCCAACCCGGTGTCTCATACGAATTTCTCCAAGTCGGAAGTCGGGTGTTATGGTTATATCTGATGTCTGTATCAGGGCGCCAGTAACGCTAGATTGTTTATGTTTACTTATCATTAAATATACAAATTCCAGCGTTATCATATTATAAATGATTAAGCATAGGCATGGGTGTACAATGATAATAAAAGAACATACTAACATATGTGATTTTATATCTGTATACCCTTACTCTTGGCTTTTTCTGAGTGTGTTTTCAAAGTTCGTCCATAACGCTTGTCCACTGTATGGCACATGAGCTCATTTCCACCACTGACCTAGAATTGTTTTCCCTCTAATTCTCTTTATCCACACACACTATAATTTACAACAATTCGCGCTGACTGCCAAAGCCAAAGCCTCGCTTTGTAGTTTGTAACATAGTTCACTTATTTTAATTGTCGCATTCATTTTGACCATTTCATGTGGCCACGCACACACACTAATTTGTTCTCAGTGTGTGTGCGAGCGAGCGAGATGCCAAAGACATGACGCCATATTGCGTGCAAGAATGATGGTATGAGGGGGCGAAAGAGATAGCGACAGATAGGGGGAGTGGGGAGCAAACAGCTGACACTTGACTCTTTGCACAAATTGCAATTACAAATGTTTTTTACCGTTAGGGCGACTATGCCACACACATGTAAATGTGTAAGCGTGCTACCACTTTTTTAAAGCGTTTCCCATTACTAATTTCTCATTTTTATACCCTTGCAGGGTGTTATAATTTTAGTCAAAAGTTTGTGACGCAGCGAAGTAGTTATTTTTGACTCTATAAGGATCGAACTACTATAGCTACCATAGGAAAGATAGTTAGATGAAGGCTTTGCCGAACTTAGCTTTCGGTTTAATAATAATAAAATATTGTAATGGCTGTAAATAGTTTTCTCCCTCTCCCCCTTTCTATCTCAGGGTCTCCTTCTCTCTCACTCTCAGTTTCTCTGTTCTCTTTACTCTGGGACTATAAATACAGGCAGTGCCGTCTCGCTTACCCTCATTCTGTTCGCTGCCTCCCTCCTGTTAACATCTATGGCGATTGTGATAGTGATTACCCTTCGACCCCGGAAATATCACCTGAGCAATTAAATACTTATGGATGACCTGGAAGAAACTGCAAGGGTATACAAACTTCGACTTCTCAGATGTGGTTTGCTTTCGAGTTCATTTTCCATTTCCATTAGGGGAAAGGGAAGAGAAGCCACAAAACAGAAGCAGAAAACGGGCAAAGACAAATACAAAACAAATTTTCAATTAGTTAATCAGTTGCGAGTCTTAACCGCTGTGGGTGTGAGGTGTTTCCTATCTACGTAACTGTAAAGACCAAGTGTAAAAGATATGGTAACATAACGCTTTCTCTTATGATCTCAGTGATTTTTAGGCGTCCCATATTGGTTTAAGGCATTATTGAAAGTAATTTTATATTTGTTATAAATTATAATAAATAAAATCTTCGGCTAAATTCCCTGTATCGTTGCCAAAGTAGAAGGGTCTGTAGGGAAACTACCTGAGCAGTTCTGCTGTGGTATCTGTGTTATCCACTTTGTTTCCTTAGAACCCAATCTAGATAGTAAAATTTCTATTTATTTTCTCCTTTTTATTATTATTATCGTACTATTTTAATGGTTGCTTACACAAACAGCTATACAGATAAGCTGCTCTTGGGCAACCAAAAGATCTTTTAAAGGGAGTATTTACTGTGCCCTCTCACCCACATTCTCACACACATGTGTTTGTGTTTTGTGGGCCGTGTTTGTGTTTGTTTCCACGTTCGCCGGCCTCGTGTTGTTTGCTTTTGTTTGCTGCCTTTCGTTTGTTTGTGTGAAAGTGAGTCAAATGATATGCTTTCCATAGGCACGAGTTTCCTACATTTGTATGTACATATGTCCCCTCCCCATCACCGTCTTTTTTCCCCCATTAGTTTGGTGTCTTATCAGAGAGCGTCTTGCCAGTGCGGTGTACTTTTCCATTGAACATTAACATTAGAAACAACAATCAATGGCCGACCTGCAGCCTATTTAATTATTGAATTTGATTTCTGTATTAACACTGAAAGTTATAGTTTAGTTCTGGAAAAAATGAAACTATTATTATGAAAATGTATTAAAATTGTAATTAAAATTATTAGAAAACATATTATTTCCGTTTTAAACCTATAGGAAATATTGATTTCAGCTAATTAGTTTAATATGTATCTGTCTTCCTGCTTTTTAATTCATCTGCGGGCAAACTTAATTAGCTGAATGGCGCACATGCTGCAAATTAATTTGAAATATGTGCTGCAGCAACCGCCGCCTTAATTGTTTACAGATTAGTTTCAGCTGGGTGTGGCTCCAAACCCATTCCCATTCCGAACGAATGGCGGGTGTGAACAATTAGCCGGGCTCAGTGAGAATGCGTTGATCCCAGGCGACGCTTGGCAAAAGTGTCACGCAAATTGGGGAGGATAGGGGAAGAGCTATGGAGGAAGCTCATGGCTCATCATCATCATCATGTTCGACTGGCTGCCCAGATGCTAATCGCTTGCTATTTTTGGGCACACTTTGTTTACGTTTGGCCTGGGGTATGCCGCCATTTCATTACCCATTCCCATGTGGGCGTAGCTCTTTTGGATCTGATTTATATTTGGCATAAATTTAGCCAAGTTTTGGGCCAGGATGAAGTGCTAAATGGCGTAGGTTGGAGAAGGTCACATACATATGTATACTGCTGTCATAATACGGTGGGAATATTCTCTATAAAATTGTCCCCAATTGGAAGAGAGGCTGAGAATGTGTGAGTTGTGAAACAAGGCAGTAGCACACATCAATCAGTTCATAAATCAATCATTCGTATAAATAATTGTTATTACCAATCAAAGCCAATCAAAATGGGAGTCTCGAATGTGCCTAATTCCAATATAACGCATGCTTGTTTGCCGTTGTTTATGGCCATAAAATATGATTTATGCGGCAATCGAACAAGCCACAATGCAATTCCTCCATAACCTTCGACACCTTTAATTTTGCGCAACATCGCTGGAAACGCTGAAATCAATTTTCAATTTGCATGCAAAAAATATACATATAATTTCAGAGT